CGGCGGCGCTGCCGCTTATGATGTTTAACGGCGGTGCTGCCGCTTGTGAGGTTCAAGGGCGGCGCTTCCGCCTGTGATGTTCAACGGCGCTGCCGCTTGGGATGTTCAAGGGCGGCGCTGCCGCTTGTGATGTTCAACGGCGGCGCTGCCACTTGTGATGTTCATCGGCGGCACTGCCGTTTTTGACGTTCAACGGCGGCGCTGCCGCTGGTGATGTTCAACGGCGGCGCTGCCGCTTGTGAGGTTCAACGGCGGCACTGCCGCTTGTGAGGTTCAACGGCGGCGCTGCTGCCTGTGAGGTTCAACGGCGGCGCTGCCGCTTGTGATGTTCAACGGCGGCGCTGCCGCTTATGAAGTTCAACGGCGGCTCGTCTGCTTCAGATGCTCGCGGCATCTGGTGTTGTGCTTTTGAGAATCTCAAGCTGATCAGAACTTGGGCCAAAGATCAAGCTCCAGGACCCACTGACAATTTGACGCGGTTGCGTTCTAGTGACTTTAGTGCTCGCCGTTACGCTCGTGGCCTTGGGCGCGCTGACAGGCGCGTACGAGAGAGCATGTGCGAAGTCTGCTAGTTGATCACATGAGGCAAGGTTTGTGTCAAGGCATAATATAATACCATTAAGACTCAATTAAGACCATATGTTGGGTCTGTCTCAGAAAAACATTTTCCACAAACCTGTCTAGCAGTACCCAAATTCAAGCTCAGGTTGCATTTTGCTTGTTCGCAGTCCTAAACGTGATGGCGGAGCTCTCAGTGGCCAGCCATCTCCATGCGCCGAGTGCGTTGTCCAGCTTGTTGGGCAACATCACATGTGGGACAGCTTTACATTTGCTCTTGTGTATGGGCATGTCGAATGAAGTCATGTTTTCACCTGTTGGCGGGGGCTCTGGTGCGCGGTCTTGGCAATGCTTGCCAACAGATTCAGCACTTAAGAAAGTTGAGCATATTCTTGGAGGGCGCTGCCGAACCAGTTTTTTGTTCAAATGTTGCTGGAGGTTAATTAGTTCTTTTGCGGTATGGGCTTCACCATATGTGCGCCAGTGTTATTGGTGAGATCAGCACTGCTAGGCATTTGACCAATGATCTAGACGACAAACTACTCCAAGGGCCACTGCATGTCGTTGTAAAGCGCCATCAAGCTGTTCGAGGTTGGCTTCATCGCCATTATGTCGTGGCACATGCGAAAGTGCATCTGCGTTGGCAGCTCCAATTTTTGGATTCCCCCGGCATTTTTCTAGCCGGGTCCACGCAGATTTTTTCGCAGCGACCATCGGTGATGGGAAGACTTTAGGTTCTCGCCACGTCAACCTCCAGAGGCCCAGTGTACCGGTTTGCAATTCTCACGCGCGCACCCACTGCAAGACATGGCAGTGGCATGTCACAATGCACCGCCATTGCTCCTGCTCCGAGAGCACCCGCTGCCTTTCGAGACAATGTTGTGAAAATCCAAAGCCATGAGATGAAGAACCCAAAACGTCAAGCTCGGCGAATTTGTTGAACCTGCAGGGCCTTCATCCAGCTATCGAGCTTCTGCCCAACATTTTTCAAATGAGCACAGCTGTTTTGAGCAAGCTTTCGAAACCGTTGCTGCGTTCATGCGATGAACATGCGCGTAGCACGCTAGCGGCCATGTATTGCCTGCATGGCGCTGCAAGCATCATTTCTGTTGCTTAAGGCTTCAGACTTGCCCTGAGTTGAAGCTGAGTCAACAGCTGGTTGCAGCAAAGATGCAAGTGATGTGAGAAGATCAGCTGAGGTGGGGGTGTTCTGTCATTCCGCCATCACGGGCGCCGAGAAAGACCAGGATCTCCTGGTGCAATCTTTATTGCAAGAGAAGGAAGGCTTCAGGGAAAGGTTTCTGCAACTCTTCAAGCAGATTGATGATGGCAGTGGACGAATCACCCTCCTGGAGTTCGAAAACAGATTCCAAGATGAATCTGTCAAGGCCCTTTTCGAGGCGCTGCTTGTCAGTACGGGCCAGAGCAAATGCTAGACAAAGGGCACACATGGAGAGTCAAAAAAGGCAACAACTAGGGGCAAAAAAAGGACGGAGAAAATCAAAGATGAAAGGAAAAAACAACGACAAAACACAAAGAGAAGGCCGCTCTAGGAGAGGAGGCATGAAAAGAAGCAGCAAGAATGGATTCTGCCGGAGCGGCAACAGATTGAAAGGAATGAAGCAGCAACAACAAAGACTAGGCAGTCAAGGACCAGAGAGGAGCAGACAAGAAGGAACGACAAGGCAAGCGCAGAGACGAGGCATGATAAGAAGAGAAGCACAGGAACACAAAAGAAGAGCAGACGCTGAACACTGCCGGAACAGACAGCAAACGACAAAAGAAGGAAGAGAAGGATAAGGAGACGCGGAAAGGCGGCAACTCGACTTTCACTAGAAAGAGAAGAAGAGTAAGCACATGTCAGGATATGCAAGGGCCAGACAAGAAATGCTGAGAAAAGGCAAGAGCATGCAACGAACGACAAGAAGGCACCAGATAGTTGAGTTTTGGCCAAAGACTCTTGGAGCCGCATGAGGGATGTTTTGAAAAGGCGCTGGAGCTTGGAGCTACAGATGCCTGGACGCTTTTCCAGATGCTGGACAAAGATGGGGACCACAACATCGATGCTGATGAGTTCATTGACAGCTGCATCCGCATGAGAGGCTCTGCAAGATCTGTTGACGTTTGTGGCCTGAGGCTGCAGACAGCAAAGATACGAAGCCAGCTGTCAGAGCTGACAAGGGCATCTGAGCAAATGCAAGGAGTTATTGTGGAGCTGGCGCGAAGCTGCCAGGGCCGCAGGATGATTTAGTTGGACAACAAGCAAGTTTGCTCCATCACCATCGAAATTTGAACAGCATGGTGCATGCTCGCCATTGAAAACAAACATGGTCCGCTCTCCTCCCGTGAAGTCATCATTACTCGTTTGAATTTGTCACCACCTCCTGGATGCCTCAGCTCAGGTGTTTGGTCTGGCAACCTGGCACGTCCTGATGCCATGCGCACAAGGATCTAAGCATCAGCATGTTCAATGTAATTTCGCAAGAGGAAAGACAAGACCATGCTGAGGAACTTCCTGTCACACACCTATCCACCTACCTGGCACTAGGCCACTAAGCCTTGGGCTCACAGCTTGAGTTTGGATGCCAGGACCTTGATCTGAACAAGCTTCCTGCTTGGTGCACGGGACGTGCTCCGTCGCCTCGATGAGATGCTTGCCAGCACATGCAGGATCATGCAGGGCGTTACCATGTCAGTTGTTTTTGGCTGGACTTGGGTGAGGTTCAGCCACTTGAGCTATCAATGTGAAGATCGGTGAGGCGATCGCGGCCAAGAAGATCAGACAACACTGCCTTGCAATTGCTGACGTGAGTTCTTGAGACAGTCTTGCAAGCAGAGATATTCAAGAAATTCAAGATGAGCCATGAATCGCGGCCTTTTGTCCCTTGCTGGGACGAGAGCCCCGAGTTGGCATGTGGACCGCAATTTAATCATCACAAAGCCTGAAATGTACTCCCTATGCCGAAAAGCTTCAGACTCTGGCTGTCACATGCTCATACAGTGTGCATTGATCTGAGCAGTAGTAGTAGTAGTAGTAGCAGAAGAAGAGGAAGAGGAAGCAGGCGTGATTCAGGGACGTTGCGACATCAGGCGATAGTGGCATATCAGGTGCTTCTAGGAAGCTGCCAATTCGTGCAAATTTGCTTGGGTTTCAGGCCTGTAATGAGACAGTTCATCTCCTGTTGTAGCAAGACAGACGAATAAGCCAATCTGAAAGAAGCCTTTCATGAGCCTTTAGATTCAATGAGCTGGAGGTTTCCAGAAGCTCCCAGAGGCTAACATGAAAATGTGAAGGACCGAACAGTTGTGAACCAGGAGAGTCCCCCTCAGATAGACAGAATATGGGGTATATGGGGTCTTATTATAATAAATATACCGAAAGCCATCTTCTGTCTACTTAAGGGGGACTGTAGATGAGAAAGAACAACTCACAGGCTCCCAGGGCTTAGGGCAGGTAACTGCTCTGGATGCAGGCTGCTCAATGTCGCTGCCCAGCGTGGTGAGCAGAGGAAAGGCCGGTCATCCTGTCACTTTCACCGTGAGGGTTCATCCTGAGCTGATGTTGAAGCTGTGCATTGACGTTGCCAGCCATTTAGCAGATCGCTCCTGAGCTCTTGCTGCCCCCCAACATCCTATTAGCTCCACATTTTCCACATCCATTGCCATGCGCTGGGTGCTTGCTGCAACACTGCCTGTCATAATGACGGTTGCGTTTGGAAAATGGCGTGGCATGAACCCTCGCATCCTCTGGTACAGAGCGTCTACCTCATTGCGCGCGATGACCGCGATCTACACCCTTCCAGAGCAGGATGTTAGGGATTTCTTGGCCTCGTACGAGCTCTTCGAGCAGGAGCGGGTCTCAGGGAAGAACGATTTCGAGAACACTGTAAATTACTACAAGGTTCTGAACCACCTGTGCGCCGTGGGAGAGGTTGAGAAGATGTACATCCCACCTGTGGTGGATCCAAACCTCAACATCTTTGACAACCAGCTCCTCTGGGAAGAGGCCATGGCGGATAGCCTAGATCTAACCCCTGGGTCTCGAGTTCTTGACCTTGGCTGCGGCCGTGGTCGGGTAGCGCACCATGTGGCCAGCTACTCTGGTGCCCGAGTTACCGGGATAAACATTGACAGCACCCAAATACGCATGGCACAGGACCGCCATGCAAACACCCTCTGACAGCGCACCGGAGGTAGGGTAAGGTAGGCTACTGGAGTGTTAGTGCAAGTTTGCAGGACTACGCCAACATCACAGGCCTCCTTGGCTCACAGCTTAGCTTCGTGCACGGGAATTTCAACGACCCTCTTCCCTTCCCAGACGAGACCTTCGATGCCTTGTATCAGGTCCGCCTGCCACAATTTCTAAACTGGCATGCCATGTACGGAAGAGTAATGAGGGAGGTAGGTCAGGGCGAGTTGGCGGCTCAAAGAAGACTTGGCGGCCTGAAGAAGCTATAAGTGAAGCCCTCCCTTGCCGTGTACACCAGGTGCAGGTGCTGACATACACCGTGGACCCTTTGAAGCTCTTCAGGGAGATGTACAGGATCTTGAAGCCTGGTGGCTTTGCCCGTCTTTGCCAGCATGTTAGTTGATTGTAAGAGGGGAGTTCTCAAGTTCTCCAAAGGAGGGGTCCATGCAGGGTGGGTCAAAAACGAAGTCATCATGCTGGAACGAGTTTTTACCATGGTATCTGGCACATTTTAAAGATCCGAAAGTTGCAACAGCGATTTCTGCAAAACGGTTTGGGCCTTTCTTGTCTTTCTGAGCTCCAAATCTCCGACATCCAGGTGCCAAGATCGCCTTTCTCGACTGGGTCCAACTCCCAGGCCACAGCCGATGAAGCAAGCAGTTAATAGTAATAACAGGAGTAAGACTAATAGTAATAGTAATAGTAATAGTAGTAGTAATAGTAATAATAATAACAATAGTAATAGTAATAGTAATAGTAATAGTAATAGTAATCGTAATAGTAATAGTAATAGTAATAGTAAGTAGAAGGGGCAGAACTAGAGCATCGTCAATACTAGGTATATTTTTTTTGGTGTTCTTAGTAGTGGTGGTGGTAGCAGTAGCTGAATCCAAAAGCCTAAACGTGCCCAAACCATCAACAACTCCGGACCCTGCAGAAGCCCAAGAACGCGCATCATGTGAGAAATGAGAATGGCTGAGAGTTGAGTGTGGGCAAATGAGGTTTCTGCCGTGCTTGTATCAGTGCTAGTATATTAGTACAAGTACGAGGAGGAGTAGGAGTAGGAGTAGGAGTAGGAGCGGCAGTTGCAGTTGCAGTGCGAGGAGGAGGAGGAGTTGTAGCGCCGTCGTAGGAGTTGATCTCTTCCGCCATTTGGCGGCTGCTGAACTGTTTCATGCAGGCTTCAACTCCACGGACAAGCTGCATCTGGAGCTGTTGAAGAAGGTGAAGCCCTTGCTGGGTGCTGTGTGGACTCCAAAGCCCAGTGACTTTACCGTGCCCTTGAGAGAGGCAGGTTTCCAGGTTCTTTCAAGCCAGGAGGCCAGTATCACCGGGGGCCAGTACCAGTTGATCCAGAAAGCCCAGAGCTTTTTTGAAACTGCTGGGACACTCCTTAGAGTTCTGGCCAAGATACGGCTGATCCCACGGCACTTTGTGACGCTTTGGGATCGTCTCACCCAGGATGGAGAGGCTTTTGTGGAGGCGGACAAGCTTGGCCTCTTCACTACCAGCTGGCAAATCATCGCTCAGAAGCCAGGGATTGCCACGGAGGATAAGCTGCAGATTGTACAGCCTAATTAGCCGGCTGCTGCTATCCTCCAGCAGAAGAGCCAGATTGCAAACTTTTTGTTATTTGTTTTGTCCGGCTTCTGCTGCAAGAACCTACAGCAAAAGTTCGCTTAGCGCCTGTAAGCTTGGCATGCTTCAGCGCATGGCGCGGAATCGTAACACCTGCACAGATTTTAGGGCTGCTATGCTCGTGTACATATCTTTTGAGCAACAGACACAGATATCTGCTCGCTGGTATTGCTTAACCACTCGCCTTCGTGAGTGGCAAGCTTTGAAACTTGAAGACCAGAGGCAAAGTGGACGAATGAAAACAGATGTGTATGATGTCAAGGTGCAGGAGAGTCTGATGCTGACCATGATTTGCTGCCCAACTTTGCCCGCAGGCTTCCAATTGGCCGCATGGGGCATGGGAGCTCAGCGGATGTTTTAATGGATGCTGATTCGCCCACTTGTGGCACATTACCGACCTTTCTCCTTCTGCTGGCGCGTTGATGCCGGTCTCAAGCATTCAGTGATAGACAAGTACAGCCAATGCCATTGACAGTTGGATTTTGGTATTTTAGAAGCTTTGTGCGTGTCGGGGATAGACACAAGAGTTCAAAACCAGAGGCTTTGTTTGAGCATCAGCATGAGCTCACGTTCGCAGATCTGCCAATTCCCGGGAGTAGCCACGCTGTGCGCTTGCCTTTGCCCTGGCCTTTGCCATGCCAGCACCAGTTGCAGGTGTGGCAGGCAACTGGGCATGCCCCTGGTCCCAGAAAGAGGTACTATTACTATATATAAATCATAAAGGCACACGTATATATATATATATGCACGTGTGTATGGGTGTGTACATGTAGAAAGATGTAGTAGTACGAGTTCGAGTCATGAGTCATGAGCAAGTCCGAGAAGTGCACACCAAGGCTTGCTGTGCGGGACTCAGACGGAAAGCTCTTACTGTCTCATGTAGTATCCACAGTTTGCCGCTTGGTTAAGGTGTAACAACGTGAACTTTGCCTCGCGCGAAGCTTGCAATCGTGCCTTGGCTGAGGTCAAACCCAAGGTTGTCAGATAAACCCTAAACCAATCCCTATATAACCCCAATATGCTATAGTAGTTTCCATTGTGTTTTCCACTATCCCCAATATAACCCCAATATTACCCCAATATTACCCAAGGGAGCTGCTATGTCAGGCTGCTGGGCGCCACGGGAACCGCCTCAAGTACAACAGCTGCCACAAGGAGGACACTTCGCAGTAGCAAGGAAAGGCCCACCTGTTGCCGGAGTGGACGGAAACTGGGCCTGCGTGGCATGTGGCAACGTGAACTTTGCCCAGCGGGATGTCTGCAATATCTGCCAGTTGCCTTGGGCCCCAGCTCAGACGAAGACCAGCGGCGGCAAAGGCGCGCCCGTGGCCGGAATAGATGGAAACTGGCTTTGCCCTGCATGCAACAATGTGAACTTCGGCACACGAAACGCATGCAATAGGTGTGGTCTTCCCAAGCCAATAGACCGAGCTCGACAAAGTCTGCTAGCAACAGCGCCGAAGTCGGCCCCCATGCCAAAGCCCAAGTCCGTGGCGCCTGTAGCTGGGGTGGATGGCAACTGGCTTTGCACAAACTGCGGAAATGTCAACTTTGGATCCAGAGACATGTGCAATCGCTGCAACATGCCAAGACCGGCTTCGCCCGAGTGGCAGGAGCCTACTTGGCAGGGGCCGGACTTCAACTGCCCCAACGTGGTGGACACCAGCGCCCCCAAACGTGGGCCGCCAATTGCAGGAGTGGATGGGAACTGGGCGTGTGGTCTCTGTGGCAACGTGAACTTTGCCTCACGGGTCAGCTGTAACATGTGTCAAGCACCCCAGGGAGGAGTCGCCAGCAAGAAGCGCACTTCTAGCGTGCCTGGTGCTCCGGTCGCGCAGTTTAGGGAGAGGGGCCAGGCTCCTGTTGCCGGCGTGAACGGTAACTGGCAGTGTGCAGGTCTTAGTCTGCCTTGAACCCGATCCGGACTCTTCAACAGATGGCTGCTTGCAGCTCAGGCCTCATGTGCGCGAACGTGAACTTCCCCCAGCGCACCGTCTGCAACGTTTGCGGTGCACCACAGCAGCCTGCCTTCCAGGCGCTAGCGGAAACGTAGGCTATTCAGATAAAAGCTCCAAAGCTCTGCTCTTGCCAGGCCAAGGGTGCCAAGGGTGGCCCGCCGATTGTCGGCGTGGATGGCAACTGGGCCTGCCCCAGCTGTGGCAATGCCCCCTGGCCAGCACAGGAGGGCTCTGAGTTTAGTTATGAAGGGATCCAAAAGAAGGAGTTCGTGTCAAGACTTAAGGACCTCGCAAGTCTTTTCCCCGCTGCCTTATCTACAGGATCTACAGTTCCACTGCTGCGAATGGTAGGAGTGGGCTGTAGTATGGTGGAGCGGGGCACATCGCAACCACAGAGGTATTCAAGCTTGCTTCGGTTGATCTTGACAGATCTCTTCGCAGATGTCTCGCACTTTGAAGTTGCAACATCAATTCTAGTGGCAATGCGGCATGTGACATATAGGACACCGCTGGGAGCTCCACCCTGGTCAAGTCTTGTCGATATTTGTTGCCAGCGGTAACCTGCTACAAACTTCTGTCCCCAGAAAAGCTGTCAGGTGAACTTTGGCACTCGGCTGGCCTGCAATCGCTGCAATCTCCCAAAACCAGGCGCGTGTGAACCTTGAAGGAGCTAAACAAACCCTAAAGTCTAATCAAATATACGACTGTTAGTTTAGTGCCAGTTTGTGAGTCTTCTAGTCTTGTGTGGTTTAGGTGATGCTATTGCACTGGGTGTTATGCCTGTTGCAGTGGCTGAGTAGCTCAGTTGCTAGCTGATCGGCTAGCGTGACCAGTCGGCACAGTTGCTGCCGTGCCTGCTGTGAGCAATGCGCGTGTCTAATCCCAAAACCTAAACGCTAAACCTTTTCTATCTCTGTCTCTGTATAACCCGTACACCTATATATCTCTATATAACTCCTGAATCCTATAAATCCCTACATAACCCCCCCATATAACACCCTGTACCATACCCCCTATGTTTCTGAGCCAGGCCTTGCCGGCAAAGGCCCTCCTTTCGGCCCAAACTTGAAAGGCTTGGCGCCGGTGGAAGGCAGGATCTGCCTGAGGGAGCCCAGAGGGTTTAGGGTGCAGGGTTTAGAGTGTAGGGTTTTGGAGTGTAGGGTTGAGGGTTTAGGGTGTAGGGATTAGGGTTGAGGGCGTAGGGTTTAGGCTTTAGGGGTTTAGGGCTTCAGGGAGTATGTGTAGGTGCGCGTGGCCAGGTGAAAACGGAAACTGGAGGTGTGCCAGCTGTGGCAATGTGAATTTTGCATGCCGCGACATCTGCAACCGCTGTTCAATGCCAAGATCTTCCCAGGCAAGAATGTGCTTTGAATGGGTATGCATGCCATGTATCCACACACATTTCGGGTTTGAATCCGACTGGCAGCAGGTCCAGGACGAATCGGATGCCGCAAGCGACTACGTTGCAGAGAGATACTTAATTGGCAGGATCAGTGAGAGGACAGTCGCAAGAGGGGCATGGCAAAAACGGTGGAGCTTAAGCATTGTTGATGGAAACCCAGCCGGACATCCCATGGTATACCCCAACTATAACTAAATCCCTTACATGGGAGCCCAAATTTTGGAAACACGTCCAGTGCTCAGGTCTTCTGGAGTCGCTGCTGAACCCAGTGGCAAAGAGGGCCAAGTTGTTTTGAGACGGTCTGAGAAGCTCTAAGAACTCTGTGAAGTCTGGATTTCCGGTTTCACATGCCAGTAGATTAAAGCGTGTCAAATTTTAGGTCCACGACGCAGCACAAAATGGGTCCTTCAAGGGGGCGGGATGTGAAACCAGCCAACATTTTATGCCGCTATGCTGGCTGCCTTGCATGTAGCGAGTGGTCTAATGAAGCATCCAGCGAAGGCTTCCCAGCTTGATTGAAGCTTTGTTCAACTAAGCCAGTCTTTCGCATGGCAGCTTGTGAAGGCCTCCAGTTTCCAACGCTCAGAGCTTCAGAGAGATTATCGACCGTTTTGATGCCCGAGTATAAAAGAACATGCTTCTTTGAGCTGCCTGCTTACAGTTGCAGTCTGCATGCCCCTCACTGGTGACTCAGTGCCGAGGGGCTTGAAGCTCGCTCCTGGCGGCTCACACAATAGATCTCAGGTGCCAACAGCTAAGCACCGATACTGAGCAACCCGAAAAACTCCTGCCAGGAAAAACTCCGTGATGCTGCAGCATCAGGAACGCAGACGTCAACATGCTGACTGAGTGCTGTCTGATGCTTCAGAGCTCTGCAAAATGACATGCCTCTTGCCGCTGCTGATCACATTTAGCACCTTGACGGGCCACGCCTACGCAATTTGTTGCCTGGCTCTGGCAGCTCGACTCCTCATGCTCCTTGCAAGGAAGCCACTGCATGGAAACTGTCGTCGCATGCAGATCTCAGGTGAGGATGTGCAGGTGGATCCTTTCGGTTTGCTCTGGTTCTTCATGGTCTGGACCTGTTTGAGCTTCTTGCAAACAAGCTACTGGAAAGGGAAGTACATGGGGGGCTCTCTTCAACAAACTCAGTAGCAGATTCCGAAGCAGACGCACAAACGGTTACTTGAATGAGCGAAGCTTGGGCTCGGTCCCTATCATGGCCTTACGGGATGGTGGCTGGAGCTTGGGAGGCGCCTTTGGTCATCCTCCTATTCTTACTAGTTCTTAGTAGGGAATAATGGAATATTTTCCCTGTATACTCCCTATATAGAATATTCCCATATTCCCTACTGATCCTCAGTAAGCCTTGTACAAGCTTTGGTGCGGTTTCCTCATTGCAACACGTCTTTGCTGCAGGCAGCTTCATCGAAAGAGCGCCGGGAGCTCAAAGCTACCTCTAGCTTGGAGGTTTCTGCAGCGCCGTGTCGCATGTTGGCAGCCTTGAGGCTTTGGGGAAACTGGGTGCTGGCTGGTCCCTCAGATGCTCAGATGCTCTGCAGGTGCCTGAAGCCGTTGATCCTCCAACTTTCATGCCAAGGTCACCTTGGCATGGTATGCTTGCGCAGTCTTCACGGCACAGGGCTTGGAGAGGCATGGGCAAATCATGCGCACGTCATGTCTCGAAATGCACATCCTTCATGCGCAAACACAGGGCAGGACGGTGCACTGAAGCAAACACACACACACACAAGAGCCCCATGGCCTGCAGAGCCCAGGCTGCAGCAATGAAGCGATCCGTCCACAGAGACATGCTGCACCTCGGCAGCAGGAAGGCCGACTATCTCCTAGAAATCAAACGAGCATCTGCGGTGGAGTGAGAAGGAGGCGGAAGGGAAAGTAGTAAAGCAAAATCGACCAGGTCTGTCTTCGCGAACTTGGTCATAGGCCGGAGCAGAACGCTCGACGAAGCAGTTGCCATGCATCACTGTTGCTTTTGACTATGGCTGTTGTCTTGTTATTGTTGTGTAGTTAATCTTGCTGCTAGTCTACTTGCATTGTGACTAGTTGGCATGGCTCAGCCTTCCGAAAGGCTGGCCACTTGTAACGCCCTTCGCGCTGTGCTGTGGAGAGGGTGCCTCTCACATTTCAGCGGAAGCTCTGCCAAAGCCACAAGCCATGGGTTGAAAATCTTGCTGGCCTACACCTAGCGTTGAGGGTTTAGGGTTTACAGGGATTTCATTAAAAAAGAACTCAGGTGTCGACTTCGCACCCCCTCCTATACTAACCCCCCTCTAGGCTCTTCCTTGATGAGTGTTACTTAGGCATCATTTGGGTTGATTTGGGGAAGCAAGGGGGTAAGTATAGGAGGGGGGAGAAGGGGGACCCATGAAAACTTGTTTGTCAGCCCGACGCCTTGGTGAGCATTGGCGGCGCGTGCTTATCATCGCCATCTTAGCCGGGCCGGGCACCGAGTCCTGTAGGGTTTCTCCTAGCTAAGGGTCCCTTTACGGCAGCGAGCAGGCAAGTTGCCAGAGAACTTTTTTGGCAGAAAGGTTTGCTCAGTGGGAGTAATTAGTTGGCACACTCCAGGTTGGAAAAGAACTTGACGAACTCTTCGCTGTCGCACATTGGCGGCGCACTGAAGACTGCGACCCCGGCATGTCCCAGGACAGAGCTTGACCTGGCAAGCACACGCAAATTAAGATGTACATGTATGTATTTATGTATGTATGTATGTACGTATTTATTCGTGCATTTTGACTATAGGTGCGGTTTATGCATAACACCTTGCATGCAGTGCAGAAGCACAATACTCATGTATGATCAAACGCTTTTGCGAAACAGCGCATTCACAGACTCGCAGATACAACAATAGCAAACAAATCAGAACTGTTTCTATATGTATGCGTATAGATAGATGTTTAGGTGTTTACATGTATGCATCTTGCATTTATGACGAAAGCTATCAGCCAGACAGCTAGGCTCTGCACGGCTTGAATGTCATCTTCACCCTCATGGCTCGAACCTGAGTGGGTTTAGTGTTGAAAAACGGTTAGAGTTTAGGATTTAGGGTTTAGGGTTTAAGCTTTCGGCGGAAACTCCTTCTGGCAGCACAGATGCAAGATTTAGGGTTGGGGGGTTGCAGTGCAGCAGCGGTCACTCACATTGGACTGTTTAGGGACCATGACTTGCGTCACATGGGGGCTACATGCCCTACCAGACGCCAGGTAGAACGTACCTTCACAGCAGTTGATGCACCGTTCATAAACGTGTGACGCCATGAAGTCCGGATTTGGCAACGCATTCCACGACAAACCGAGGTCTCGGCCTTTGCCGGAGCAGATGACCGCGCAAAATTCTGCATTCTGGGCTGTCAGTGTCCAGCTCTCATGTGTTGCAACCTCAAGTCGTGCGGAACGCTGCCGGGGTTGGCAGGGCGTGGCAATGTCATTCTCTCCCTCAGCATCTGCCTGGTTGCCACTTGGCAGCGCTTGCCCAACTACAGCCAGCTTCCGGAAGGATTCTCCAAAAGTATTATCGTGGCTGCTCAACGGGCAGAATTTCGAAGCCTCGCATCTCACAGCTTGCTTGGCTATGTGTTTCTCTTGTTGCAGCTTTTTGGTTCAGCTCTCCAAGGCCTTTGAATCCTATGCTGCAGCCCATTGTGCGCACACTAGTGGAGATGATATGAATGAAGATGCCACAGGAATTGCACTTGAATAGCCTGCACATCACTGTCTGCTCGAGAGTTAGTCGTAAACTTCGCCGAGCAATGCCATGCAGACGCTGTCCGTTCGTGAAATAAAGGTGCGAGGCCCTGTGCTCAGATTCAGACACGTCGAGGGATGGCAAGAAGCGGGGTTGTGCTGTTTCTACAGCACCCACAGGTTTTCAGCTCATGATATGCTTTCTTCTCGAAAAAAAGCGTCCGCAACAGAACGGGAAATTTGCCCTTACGTTGATTTGCCCTGGAATCAGCGTCTACATGGGGATTACCATTTTCTGACGTGTAAATATCCCGCTGATGTAAAATCTTCCCAATGCCAGCGTCCGCAGTAGATGACGTGTATTCTCACGGAGTGGGGTGTGTGAAAACCGTTTATACTTGCTATAGCTGGACCAGGGTGATCAGCGGATTGAGCTTCATAAGAAAAGAACGAAACAAGGCCAGGCCACCAAGTTCTGCAAAGTGCAGATTGCAATGTGTGAGCACCCAGTTGTGTTTGTGCTGCAATGTACTGAACTGAGTACTGAGGTGAGCTTCGATGGCAAAGGAAGCATGAGGTGTGGTATCCGAAGGCATTTGACACGGAGCCGCGTCAGTCACTGCATGTGGCTTTGATGGCAGTTTTTAAAGACTTTCCCTCCATGTGGCTTCCAGGGCTTCACTGGGCGCTGGCTTTGCGTGGCAGCGGGCGGTGACTGCCTGATGGACTATGCAAACGGCCCTCGCCTTAGGTGCTGGAGAGGAGCCCGCTTCAAGCAATGGAGTATATCCTCTAAGGGACAAGCCCCGACAAGCCCGAAGTTCGTAGTTGCCATCTATTTACTGAAGAGGGCATCCAATTCTGTATTGCTCAGTTCGAAGAACGGGCTTCGGCGCTGACAGGGGAACCTGAGTCGCTGTGAGAGAGAGAGGGTTGGATGCAGCTAGCAGACGGCACGCCTCCGTGCATCGTGTGCGTTGCTTGCACTGCATAAGGTCCGTGCGACTCTGAGAGGGAGTTGCCTCTGCATCTTGGACATGCTACCAAGTCACTCATGACGACAGAGACCACGCCCAAAAATGGCTGCAATCAAGCAGAAGAATGCAAAATCCTAGGAGCAGCATTTGCTCCTTGGCGACGGCCATGCAACAGTTCATTGGTACTACTGGGGAACAAGGCTCTGACGTGCAGACCCACTCAGAGCCACGGCTGTTGAATTATGCGCGTGCTGTTACACTGCTCCTCTTGCTCATCACATGGCTTGCCAGACACATCTGCGCCTGCGAGGTTGCTTTTAACACCCTTCTGCTAGCTGCTTGCACTGGCTCCACATTTTCTGTGGTGGCTGTCGTGGCCTTGCCTGAGGAGAATTCACATCTCGCACCAAGCTTGGTTCACATGACAACGCTTTGCTACTTGCAGGACACGCCTTCTGACCTTTCCACCGCAGAGCTCCGTTTTAAAGCGATGGAGATCCATGCAGCACTGCGGTCCGGCGTTCGGGGCCAAGTGGTTTCCCCTTGACCTGCACCGCTTTTGCTATGGTTAGCATGATGTGTGCTGCACGTAGGAACTCGGTACGCAGCTGCAGCTGCTGGCGGGGGCAGCTGGGCAGGAGCGGGAAGACAAGGCCAGTGATTTGAAACCTGCTGAAGCTCTCAGCTTGTGCTGATGTAGGCTGCCAATTACACGCCGTCCTCCTGCCTGCTGGAAGCAGAGGGCAAAGGAGGTGACACGCCACTCCCGCCAGAAGCTGCGAGTGCCCCCCATAGAATTTCGCTCAGGCATTGCGCCAGTCGCACCATCCTTCATATCTCTTGAGGTGCGGCGCGCGAGGTTTTCGCAACCGCGCTCAGTCAGCGTGCCTCCGCACTTCTAGTGGCCATGCTGGACGAGCTTCCAGAGGGCGACAGGCCGGCGGCCCGGAAATCCTCTCTTGTTCTGATGCCAAATGCAGTGAAGCTCAGGAAATCTGAGCGATTACTTGAGCTTCATAGTTACCTCATTAGTAGGTCTTGGTGCATTGAGTGGCTGCATGGCAGGCGTTCTCATGACGCATGAGGCTCATGACTTGAGTTGACATTCCCTGGTTCCCATCAGGCGAGAAGTGCGGAAGCTTTGTCTCTTCGATGTGCGCCTGGAGATCCTGTGCACCGTGCCAGTTGAACCACCAGGGACATTGCAAGATATGGCCCTCCTCCTGCAGGCAGGGGAGGCTGTTTCACTGAGCCAGGAGAGGTTGACCTCTATCTGGGTTTGGAATTCAGCAAGCGGCGATGCTTCAGAAATCGCTGTGCTTTGTGCTCAAGCCTGGCCTTTCTTTGTCGGGGCTATGTTGGAGACGCGCCCATGTGGCCGACCATCTGGCGAGTCTGGCAAAGGCAGGCAATGCATCAAACCGGAGTCAAGGTTAGTTGAACGGAACTTGGTGCTGTGCATTTTCCTGTCAGGGATGGTGTGCCGCGCCTCCAGCGACGTCCTTGGGCATCTGCCCACCTTCAAAAGCAGCTACTGCTGCAAAGGGGGAATCCATGAAATGGTAGAGCCTCCCGAAGTCCCAAACCTCTGCACCTGTGCACTCGGGCAGTAGGAAGCAGCCCAGGTCGTATGGAAGCAGTGGCCGCCCAGTTGTGCACCCTGCTCGGCCTACATTCACCGGCGAAGCACCTTGACCTTTTTGATGATTCGTCCAGATCGCACAGCCAGCAAGAATGAAGCAATAGGCGACCGTGCACCCATGCAGCTATGCCTGCTGAAGGCCGCAAGAATGAGCTGATTCGGCCGCGCATTGCAAGGAAACATCTTTCAGGCACTGCTTGCCTGACACGCTGGGACGGCAAGTTGGCATGATCCAGCAACGCTTCCGGCGCGCTTCAGAAAGAGCTCCGTTGCCACTTGAAGCTAGCTCGTCGCAAGTCAAGGGCCCAGAACTCACAGCTCTGCGGTAATTGAGGCTTCTGGGAGCGTCGTCATGGCAGTCTTCCAGGGTGCGGAAGAGGTGGCGCTGCTCGCCAGGGCGGTCAAATGTAAGAACGGACAGGGCTGAAATTCGCCGCACGGCACAATGTTGCAGAACATTCAAACTTGGGTGCCCGCTGCCAGCTTTGCCGAAGAATCCTAAAATCAATGGCCACAAGAAGCTGCGCATGTGGAAGGAACACATGGCCAGCAGACAAACTGGGTTGCGGGATGAGAGTTCTCAGGGCGGAGCTGGCTTCAAATAATTTCAGGGCGGTTCTAAAAGGGAACCTGCATTATGGGCATTCTGGGAGCAGGTATTTTGAACAAGTACCATTTTGTCTCGGCCTCGTGGCGCCGTTGAGCGCCATGGAACGCCCAGTGCAGAACGCTCCTCGGGCTGCGCAGATGTGAGGCGATGTTCTGCAGCTGCAGGCAACCGCGCAGTCACCGTGTGATGGTGCGCCCGTACTCTGTCGTCACACTAGCACCCATAAATCCTTTGTACAAATGGGTGGGTTAGGCGGTAGCGGTCATTGCTCTTCTCTTGTGGCCATCGTTCAGGCTCCGCTTCCATGTTTCCCCGCTGATGCTGATGCCTGTGGTCTTGCTGCTGATGCCGCTGCTATTGTGTCGCTTAAGTTGTTGTTTGGTTCTTGTTTTTGTGGTGGTGGCGGCGGCGGGGGTGGCGGTGGCGGCGGTGGCGGCGGTGGTGGTGGTGGCGGTGGCGGTGGTGGCGGTGGAGGAGGTTGTGGCAACGAGGCGTGGTTGCGGAGGTGGATGTTGCTGGCCGCTGCTGCTGCCGCCTGCCAAAGCTACTGCCACACCACACCTACCGGTGTAGCGAATGTGCAAGAGAAGTTGATCCTGGTGAAGAGTTTTGGGCAGGTGCTGTTGCGATGGGGCTGGGGCCCCTGGAAGCAGACTTGTCCTGCCTCAGACCTGTGCCCTGGCTGAGGAGCCACGCCAACAGATGGAGAAGGTCGTGGCGCAGCAGCTCATGAGCGTCCAGGCCTTTTCCGCACACAGATTTTGGTTCAGGCGTTCGGTGTACTTGTGCTTGACAGAAGGATGCTGTCGAGCTCTCACTGCCTCACGCCCTCAAGCTTGGCCTCTCACCTGTTCGTGTGCGGAACTTGGGCTGAGCTGCGACTTTCAGAAGTGAGAAGCTGTTTTCATGATCAGCTGTGTAGGAGGAGGAAGCAGACCAAGAAAGTCCTACGAACGCGAGTGTCCTGGCAATCTAACCGTGAAACTTGAGGGGCCGCATGTCTGTTTGGCAAGGCATGTTCGCTTGCAACATCTTGCCCTAAGGATCCAGCAGTTGGGCAGCTTGTTTGCAGCTGTGGACCTTGCAGCATGGAAGCTTCCTTCAGAATCTCTTTGTCCAAGGACAGGCACACGGTCTACGTGCATTACGCTCCAGACTCCAAGCTGGGCCTTACGCTTGACATGTCGGCCTGGTGCCCAACTTTTTTGAGCCAAGCCTCTATGCATGAGCCTTGTGTGAACCTACGAAGCTGGAGTTGGGCTGAGAACTCGGAGTGCTGCCTGGTGAAGGGCATCGCCCAAGACGGATTGCTCGCCAAAAGCACGATGACTAGCCCAGCTGGCAAGGCCTGCAGGATTCGCGCATGCCCATTTGGGGCATAACATTTCATAGCTGCGAATTAGGAAGCAGGGAGCACAAGGGGTGACTCAGATTTGTCAACCTCTTGGAGTCGGCATGGGGCTTTGTCGAGTTGACAGGCCACTGGTCTATGGATGCGTCTCCTGGCAGTGAACGGCGTACGAGGCAAAAGCGAGGCATGGGGGATGCGCACCTGCATTTCAACGCGAAGCACCACCTCCACCTTTGCATCTCTACTTCAAACTGTGGCTGGAAGGATCTCATTCGGAAAATCGAGGAGGTCTATTGTGGAGACGGCATGCTGGACAGACGAGTATGGTTGTTTCTTTCCACCTTCGCGTCCCCTCGTGTAATCGGCTCGTCCTGGCCGCCTGGCCAGGAGATGATGTTCGAAGCCCCGCGGCAGTTTTCCTTTGACCTGTCCAAGCATGAGAATGGTGACCTTGGAATGGAGATGGATTCTTAGATTCTTAGCATTTGTCGTCCCTTGCGTAATGAGACGTGGAAAGGACACGGTCTCTTGGGACTTCTCGTCTTCTCATGCTGTGCTTTGCCGTGTGGGCTTAGGCTGAGAGCACATCACACCTCGGTAGGCCACGGTCGGATGCTTGACGGGTTTGCCGCTGCTGCTGCAGCATGCTGCTGCAGCTGGTTGCGGTGATGGTCTGCTGCTGTTGCCGCTGCTGCTGTTGCTGGTGCCGGTGCTTTTGCAGTGCTGGTGCTGGTGCTTAGTCCTGCAGTGCCAGGTGATGGCTAGGCTGTTAGGATGCAGTTGCTTCAGACGTGTCAGCTCGCATAGGCCATGCTTTCAGAGTAGCGTCTGCATGGCTGTGACTTGTGTGCCAGGCATCAGCAGAGTAAGCGGCGGCGGCATCATCGCGGACTGCTGCTTCCAACTTGCAAAATGTTTTTTCTTTCCGAAGACTTGTCATTTGATTTTTCACAGAGTTGTAGCGTAGCCCGCAGAATTTTTATTGTACGTCGCTCGAGCCGCGGCAGAACTACTTGAGAAGGACTACAACGCCAGCGTGCCTGAGGACAGGCGCATTGTTGCTGGCTCAGGGGCTCCGAAACTGTGTTTCGAAACGCATCCCGCCGCGACTTTCATAGCGTCTAAGGGCCTCTGCTCTCGAATCATTGCGGTGGACGGTTCCAATGTTGGCGGCGGAAAGCGGATGTTGCAGAGTCTTTCTGAGCACTGGGCAGATCTTGTGATGTCTCTGCCGAATGGATTCGGTGTTGCAGAGCTTTGCCAAGGACAATCCTGTCGGATCAGGCTGGGGCGGAGTGAGAATTCAGGTTGGCTGTTGGGGTTGCATCCGTTTGCGTTTGTCATGGTATGATGTATAATGGCAATGTTTGACAACAACGTGGTGGTAGCATTCGTGTAATCTCACTCGTGATTTCCAACAGACTTCCGAGACGAGACTTGTCAATTCGAAGAGCCCATGAACCTGTGTTCCTGCAAGTCCATAGGCGGTCATAGGTGTTGTTTCTAGCCCGCCCGGATCGCCAAGGACGAAATTGCTCACTGGCTTGCAGCACAGAAGGGACAGTAGGAAGGACAGTGACAAGAGCAGAATTTTAAAAGCAAACAGACCTAGGCAGCCAGGCATGAGCTACAAGAGGAGCAACCTACTGGCAATGATACACTTTTGCAGGGGTTGAGCATCTAAGCACATCTTGCGTCATCCATTTTATGCGGCAGCGGTCTCTGCGCTTTGGGCGGTTATGGCGGTGGCTTTGGAGCACCTTGACTCAACAGAAACGCTTCAACTTGAGGAGCGCCACATTTGCGAAAGATTCAGGTTGTTTCTCGATATCAGCCTCTCATTCCCCGTCTTACGCAGATTGGGCTGAGTGTAATTGGGCCTGCGGCTTCCGTACCTCACATATTCGAAAGGAGCCAGTCCCCAAGCCTTACCCAAGGTCCGGCACACAAGAAACCAGTGGAATGGGCGGTGCAAAAACCATTGGCCTCGTTGGAAGCTTGGCGGTTCTGCTGAACAATATCCTCGGGTGCTGGCCTCAGAGATCCCTTTGATTATCAGTCAGATGGTTTAGGGTCTGGGATTTAGACTTTCTTTGGAGAGTATTTTTGTGTGGGCTTCCAAAAATTCAGGATACCTTTCCGAGGTCCCTAGACTGAGGATTGTAGCATTTGGGGTCTACATTGAGGTACCCCTATTCATAAAGCCATGCTGTTCGCGATGACTGATTACATTCAGCACCACCACGTCTAAGTATGCGAAAAGTAACAGTAATAGTCCTCGTGTATTTTTTGCTAGATGTGCTAGAAGAACGATTCTTACCCAACAAGTGTAGGAACAAAGCACCTTTGATGCTTGCTTTTTGCACCCGTTTAAGAAAATGTGTCGGAAGTGGGCGGCTAAGCAGTAGTAGCAGCAGCAGGGTGGGAGTAGGAGGAGGAGGGGAAGTAGTAGAAGTAGCAGGTGCAGATGCAGTAGCAGAAGTTGGAGGGGGAGTAGGAGTCGGAGTGAGAGTGGCAGCACGTGCAGGCAGTTGACAATAGCAATACAGCAACAGATCCAGCAAGAAGGTAACTGCAACAGCAACATTAACATTATCAGGAACAACCAATAGTGGTAGTAGTTCAAGGAGTAGCTGTAGCAGAAGCGGTAGTAGCAGCAGCAGGAGTTGTAGCAGTCAAGCAGGAGAAGTAGCAGTAGTAGTAATAAGTAATATGTAGACGTTTTGGTCTTCGTGGCGGCGGCGGCGGCGGTGGTGGTGGTGGTGGTGCATAAAAGAAGTGGAAACAGCAAGAATACTGGTGAGAGAGCGAGAGACTGTGTGTACAGAGGCATGTAGAGCTGTGGCGTGTTCCCAGGATGTGAATGCTGGTGGCAGGTACAGCTAAGCACGGTGCCGGGAGAGCAGTATGCTGGGGGCTCCATTATCCAAGTCTGCGTGGCCAGGTCATTCCCGACTGGGGGCTAGCGTAGCTACTTCCACGCTAGAGTCCTCGTTGACTGTTGGCTTGTCTTATTGGGTAAGCTTCCTTAACCGCATCTTGTTAAAGGGGAATGGCAGGAGACTGCATACGTCTCACGGCAGGCGGGAGAGGCGGAGAGGATGACATGCTTGGACAAATCAGGGGATTCCAACACTTGGGTACGGTGGGGGCCTCTGTTTCTCTCTAAATGGCTCTGGCAGTGCGTATTGTCGGTACCTGGCGCCTTGCTGGTTGGACCTCTGGAGTTTGGACTTGCCGGCTTGCCGCTGTGCGCCGGCACTCCCTTCTGAGGCTGTCTAGCCCTGAGAAGAAGAAGAGAGAGAGAGGAGAGCGACGCTCAGTGTGTTTAAAGGTGGCAGCAAGGATCAAGATAGTAGTAGCATGATCATGGTCATGCGTGCGTGCTACCACAACCGGGGGCCACGCTACATTCAGGCCTGGCATTGCCAACTTCTCCAGCCTCTACCAGCAGAGCGGCTGGCTCCCGCCTACACTGTTGGTATTGGTGTGCGTAGCTTCCAGCATCTTCAGTGGGGCCGCTTGGATGATATACGTCACACCCCGCTACTGGATCACTCACACCTGGAGACGGTTTGAATCAGAGTGGGCACAAGGCCATGCTGCTGGCATCGATGCGAGCATATCCGAACAACCAGGACCCGGCTTTAGGCATAGTCTGACATATGTGTTTGCAAGCAGGAGCAGATCTGGGAATGGAACCTAATTCCCATTGAGAACATGAATCCTACAAGCATCTACAGAGAAGTCTAGAGAGCAACATAAAACTTGATTCCCGCGCAGCTCGTGCCGATCATTTCAGTGTGTACTATTTATTTGCCAAAGGTGAAAAGCTTTGACAAGCAACAGCAGCAGCCTCAAGGACACCACAGGATTGTACTCGCAACAGCATCGAGGGAACGGTGGCAAGTCACTCCAACCAAACTTCAAACAGCGTGTTACCAGGATTTCGATGTTCGTGTGGAGTATGGCACGCTCTGCCGGTATTACTTTCCTTCAAAGGCGGCCAAATTCTTTCAAGGCCGACGGATGGATAATCAGGACTGGTCTGGAGGCTTCTGCAACTAATACACTACTGTACTGCTAGGCAGCTGCAGGCTGTGTGATCAGTCCCGCATCCGCAAGCCAACTCCAACTCCCAAAGCTAGCTTCAGGGTTTCAGCGTGTCTCTTGCCCCGGCACGTAAGTTAAAGGAAGCTAGGTCTTCTTGTGGTTTGGCGAGGCTACTCTTTGGCCTGGGCCATTGCAGCAGGGACCCATGTTTCGGTGTTGTTGGTCTCGTAGAATCAATCGTGAAGGACGCGCTTCTATTTTTCCACGTGCTATCCAAGAGGCCACCCGGTAGGTCATAGCAGGATGATGTTCCCAGAGGCCTCTTCCAGCTTGCGATGCTCACTGCCAACATTAGCAATATCATCCAGACCGCGCAGGCTGGTTGCATGTGAAATGCCGATTTTTTTGTTGCGCATGTGGGGCTTCTGTCTTGAGTCTAGTGTGGGAAATTGATTTACTGATGTTGCGGAATGCCGCCAGATCTCCCAGTAACAGGTGGTAGTTCCCAAAATAAGCGGACCCCAATATAGACTCCAAAATACTTTAGTCCTTCTCATGGGGACCCCTAAAAGGGCACCCCTAATTTTGGGAAACCCCAGGTGTTTGACTACTTCTTCGACACCGTCTTTGGGGACTCCTGCGCCCTAATGTTTTATCCGAGCTTCATGCACGGCTTCTGCCAGACTTCCAACGAAGATGTCACGCCTTTTGGGGCCGGAAAGGCCGGAAGCTCACAAAAGCATGTGAAACTCCTTGCCTAAGGATCCTAGGACTCAAAATGTGATGCTTCAAGGTACCAAACAGCTACCATAGATCTGGAGGGCTTTTGGTAGCCTGAATTCAAAAATCATATTCGTAACAATAATAGTAAAAGAAGTAATGTACTAGAAATACTAAGTCCCCCCTTCTCCCCCGCAGACCCTAAATCCTAGAGCCCTTGGTTTTTTGTAGCCCAGGTGGTCCTGTCACTGGGGATGGGCACAGTTGGCCTGGTCTCCATACCTCTGGGCTACTGGAACCTGGAGGATAATGTCGCTGCAGTCTCCTTAAGAATTATTTTGGATTTCTTGTACAATATAACCCAAGGATCTATTAAGAAGAACAGTTGTCTTAGCATTCTTTAGTTATCGTAGTATAGCCCTAAGGAGTGATTAAAACACATATTTTTGTTACAGGTCTAAGGGGACTACAGGTCAAAGTTCAGAATGCAGCCTTGGTAGTCATCCTCCTCTCGCCTCTCTGTGGCAGTCAGGAGCCATGGTTATAGTGTTTCTGGGGAGGAGCCTGGGATATTATCCCCATATAACCCCTAGATTTTCCCGATTATAATATAGTGGTCTCCATTTTCTTTTCCAATACCCCCCATATATCCAAACCCTAAATCCTAAACCCTAAACCCTATATCTACCCTATTATAATAGGAAGGAGCCTTCGGGGACCCAAGGGTGCAAGTTTTGTTATGCTTACAGTGATGGATCCTGGTACAGTGACCCAAGGATTCTGCTGTGGGTTCTGATCTTCTTTGCCTTGGGCCTTGAAGCCGAGCGTGTTCCTGCTGTGGGAACATCCCTGCACAACATGGGGGGCACAATCCTCTTCAACTTCATGCTGCTGGGCTCCCAACACTTCTCCTTAGCATAAGCCTGCCATCCTGGTCTCCACGCGAACAGTTAAACAGGTGGGCGATTCTTGAAATGGGAGAGGTAGTTAACAAGAAGGGCACATGCAACAGCTCATTGGCCGCGGAGGGCCCGAATACATCCTCTACAGTATCTACCCGAGAATAACCACGCGAAGCCTGTACTCGTAGGTATGTACATTTTCCCACCCTCAACGTGGGGTTGTCAGATTTTGGGAAGTCTATGTTCTCCTCCCCCTCCGTGCAGCGTCCAACGACAAAGTATCTAACTGCCAAAGTCTCCCTTTCCCAAAGTGGTTCAGAGGTTCCCTGCAGTGCCCCAATCTCTCTCTCCATGCAGTACCCAACTTTGGAGTCTTCCTGGAGTCCCCAACCCCAGAGCATACCAAAAAATCCAAGCTTCACAAAAGGGCCCCTCCCACCCTAATGGTAGAATGCACAGCTGTTATACTGCAAACTGGCACAAAGTTTTGGAATTACATTGCTGACACATGCTCCATATTGTTGCTGGAAGCTGTTAATTCGTGATGCCCCGCAACCACTAAAACCTCAGGGCGGGGATGTTCAAAGTAAACAATTACTGGGTTAAATTCAGGTTCATCTCGACGGTGCCCTCTTGGGTCTGCGAGAAGAAGCCAGGGGTGCCTTGGCCCTGTTAGACTACCCAGGAGCCTGCGACACCGGGTTGTAAGCATCCGTGCGCAAGTTCAAGCAGCATGTGCGGCTATCACTCCAGCTGCAATTGCAACCTTGACACAGGCAGCTGCAGCGTTACCCTGTTTGATTTTTTGCGTCTTTGTGTTTTCATGTTACTGTGGTTTTCCGGGCTGGCTACATGTTGACGATAAGTGCAGGCTGCAGAGGCATTGGAGCACCCCATGCTGCGTGATATAACTACGCTACATACTTGTACCACTAATGGCTAGCGCACGCTACCATTACTTCCACCACAGGGAAAGCCATTAGTTGGGTTGTAATCCTGAAGCGTCCTGCCTCAACATAAGCCAAAGCCCAGCCAGAGGTACCGCCTTTGAGGACGATCCTGGGCACCTTAGTCTTGGCCGTGCTGGGACGCTGGGACCTGGGATCAAGCAGCATGATTCCTAGAGCGCTCCCGGAAGCAAAGCCTGCTCAGAGCGCAACCATTGCCAAGCTCCTTTGAAGCTTGCTGTCTTGCTTGATTAAGGGTAGGCTATAATGAGGATACTTGCTGGTCGGCGTCATCGGGGGCATGGCGTTTGAGCCGTACTTCATGACGGATAACACACTTCTCTCTCAGCTGAACCACATCTCGCCCCAGGACTTGCCTGGAGTAGTTTGTGTGAATCGGCTGGCCTTGCTTTCAACCAATTGTCGCTTGTCATGCCAAAGCCCCTGACGATTTTGACGAGGATGCATCCCCTCTGGTACGATCCACGGAACCTTTTTATGCATTGATGGATCTTGAAGAGGTGTCTGGCAAGAGCCACGTCTTGAGATGCTTGTGATAAAGCAGAATTTTCCTCGCTGGAGTACCAAGGCTTTCGTGACCGTGCAGGCGTATGCAATTTCGGCAAACCTGGCTTCCATTCCGATGCTTGGCCTCTACCCTCTTGCTTTCTGAAGGCTGCTGGCGGTTTCGTGATGGCGGTGCTTGGTCCACCCAGATGCCTGCAATCCAAACAATCCAAGGATATTCTCTATTCTCATGCGATACAATTTGATTGAAAGCAAGGTTGTGGGCAGCAAGGCACTTGGGACTCTGTGCAAATACCCACAACACCACTCTGCAAGACGTATCTGACTACCGCGCGCCTTTTTTTCAGGTGGCTGGGGCTGCTTCGGTTCTGGTGCCCTTTGGGGTCGCTGTACTGCTCTACACCGGTGAAGGTGAGAGTTGGGGGCAGGTGAATGAAGTGAAGCTGTCAATTCTGGGCGGCCAGGCTTCAAAAATGCCATTGACTTCTCCGGCACATTCACATCGTCCTTTGTGAACCTGATGGCGCCCAGTCTCTTCTTCCTTTCCGCGCTCCCTGCTGTGCACTACTTGTGTGAGCTCACATGGGACATGCAGTGTCTCTGAATGGCCCCGAGGCTGAAGCAGCCACAGCAAACTGCGCTCATGGATGCACGTGTTTGGCCCAGTGGGGAATTCTGTGTCATGCAGGGGCAAATAAGACAGATCTACGTCTGCTTCTGATGCCCAGGTGAATGCATGACTTCTGCAACCTGACGCAAACCATGGCCTGTCGCTCATAGATCTCCCTGGCAAGCTTGCAAAGCCAAGGTGAACATAGCCCGACCATTTTGGAAGACATCCGCATGGGACAGCCTCCGTAGTGAAACCGCAGAAAAGTCTCGGCTTATGTGGAGAATCATCGCTTGGGTCCCTGGCCAGCATCGGATGCACCCCTGAAGTTTAGGGCGCCGGTGCGTACCTGATAAATGGCACCGAGGTGAACCTGTCCCTGATGGCGGTGCTTACGCTTGTCTCTGTTGTGGACCAGTTTGCGTAATGGCAACCCTATGGTGTTGAGATTTGCCGGCTGCAATGGTTGTGCGAAGGTACTTCCACCAGCCGGTGCTTTAAGTTTTTTCCCCACACTGTCGCAAGTTGTGGAGCCGTGAATCCCAAGCGGCATGCCGCTAATTATGCTAGCCTGGCCGCGTCCCTCAGAGGTTCGCGCGCACCTGGCCAAAGAAGGACGAGGGAGATGTCCCTGCCATTGTTCCCTCAATGCTTTCTTGTCGCGTCAACAAAAAGTCCGTAGAGCAACGGCCACAGCAGAGGTGCTGCTAACTCCGAGAGATTCCCGCTCGTAAATGCATGTCGCGGGTTTCGAAGCATCTTCTTTCGAGATGAAGTTGAAAGGACATTGACCCCCTCTCTGGTAGAAGTGCAAGCACAGAGTCTGCTCCTTTGGAGACGGCAATCTGCAGGCCTTCTCCTTGACAGTGCTCAACTGGTCGACCTTCACATCGCCCAGTGAGGGAGCCGCGAGGTGAAGCCCACTTGCTGCAGCCCTAAGCCCAAGACCATCATAGCTGGGAAGGATTTGTAATGGGTTATATTGGGAGAATGGCAAATAAAATGGCAAGTACTATAGTTACTATGGTATATCGGGGTTATTATGGACCACAATCTATCCCAGGTAGCTTGAGATGCCAGCATGCTTGCTTCAGTGACGTTCATATCAGATGCCACAAGCGCCGAAAATCGGAGGACAGGCTAGTGGGGGAGAAGACCCTAACAGATTAGAGTTCACTCTTGTTTGGTGGATTCTATCCAAAATGTGAATGTTGATCTTTTTGATTTTCTTCCAGCCGGAAGGTACACTAAGGCTCTATTTACTCAAAATTATGGAGCTACTACTATAGGGGGGATTGACCTAACCTTAACCCTGAACCCTAAACCCTATGACCCTTAAGCCCTATAAACCCAAAACGTTGGCTGGATTTGTGCGCCTGGGAGAGGTGGAGTCAAGACGCTCCCAAGATATCGTACGCATTCCTCCTCGGCTGCCCTCCGCTGTTTCTGGATAACGCGCCCGCTCCTTGTAGCGCCTCTTTGCATGGCAAATTAATTCGGTAGTTTCCAAAAATTAGGGCCTAACAAGTGATCCCGCAAAGATTCATTGAACAACGAGATAGATTTTTGGGAATAAGCTCAACTGCAACACGCCGGGTCCAAAGAAGGACAAAGCGGTCCTTCTGGAGAATGGTTCTTGAAGATTTTGAAGACAAGGCCACTGATTTCTGGAGATACCTATTTTGGACCGGTCGCCACCTCCAGAGTCGAGGGGCCCAGGCTGAAAGCCTTGGAAGTTTTCATGTGCCGGGTTTGAGGAGGACCTTCGTTTGAGCCATTCCCGTGGCCATGGGTCAGCACAATCAGAATTTGAACGGACGTAACTTTTGGGCTCATTGCCCAGTTCGCATGCGGCCTCCTCCGTGAACCCTGACCATTGCTCGGACCTGTACATGTGCCCGAGTCCGGCTTGTGAACAGCAAGTCTTCGGCAGCCTTTCTGCTTGCTAGTGGGTTGCCAGCATTACATCATGCCATGTTCTGTGGGCAGCCATGCGCCAGGGAGCTTGGAACAGCAGCATGATTGGAGTGGGGCACTCAGAGTTGCGACGGCTAAATTGGTCGCAGACTGGCGATCCATGTGGCTTGAACCAAGATTTTACTCCAACTGGGTTCTGGACTTGCCTATGCTTTCAAGCCGGAACCTCAGAAATGTTAAGCCGCATCTATTGCGAAAGCTCTCTGCGCACCATCGCACTCGAACAAGTAGAGAATTGCACAGAAAATGGTGGCAGACTCTTGGAGCGCAAGCAGCTTCAGAAGCTCGGCTATAGACAAGCAAAGTGCTTCGAAGTCTGCTCTCAACCCTTCCGCCAACTTTCTCGAAGCAAACAAGTGTGCTCCAGACTCTCAAGCTGAGGTTCACGGCAATCAAGCTTTTGCTTGGTGGCCCAAGCGATGAGCCGCCGGCCTAAATGGGAGTCCTATCAAGTGAGATGACCTTGCACCAAGTCTGCATACGGCGAGGTGTAAAGGCTTCTGTAGAAATAGATAAAGCCTTTTCGGAGCTGATTGCGCTTTATGTGTCTTAGATGTCAGCAGCATCCAGGCTCAGGCCCCGACCCAGATACAGGCAGCATGCCCTTCAGCCCATCTTCTGCCTTTGGCTGCTTGCTGGGAAATCCGCCATAGAAAAGACCACTGGGGTTGTGCGCACCATATCCAAAAGCCAGCTCTTCATGAGTGAGCCCAACCCCGCGTGGTTTGGTAATCGTCCCAACCCCGAGTTTCGGGAACCTGGTTGGACCAATCGGAACTGGCTCAAGTCCCGCTTCCACTTCAACTTTGCCGAGTATGATGAGGGGCCCAGTGGCTTCGGCGTCCTGCGCGTCATGAACGATGACCTTGTCCAGCCGAAGCGGGGCTTTGGAATGTATCCTAGCCGCATTTCACAGCTTTGTAGGTAAGTCTAGCCAATCACTCTGCGGCTGCGGGCATGCGCTTGCGATATCATGGGATGTTGGTGAACTTAGGCATCCGCATCGTGACATGGAGATTGTCACGTTCATCATCCAGGGCAGCTTAACGCACAGGGATTCCACGGGCACCGACGAGACAATTGGGCGCGGCGGCGTCCAGTTTATGACTGCGGGGACAGGGTGGCGTGGCAGCAGCTTGTTAAGGGCACCTGCCTGCTCTCACAGACCCTGGGTCTAGCCAAGTGCGAGGTTCATCCGCATCATTGACCTCCTGCTTTCCTGTCCACCGGTTAGGTCTAATGCTGGGCCAACTCCTGGGATCCTAATCATGCCAAAGTGAGAGGTACACCCTCACCGAGTCTCCTGCGTTCGACTTGCTGCTAACCAGGATTCGACACTCGGAGCACAATCTGCAGAGCACTGCCTTGCGCTTCGTGCAGTGTTGGGTCGTCCCACGTCGACGAGGCTTGCGACCCAAGTACGGCTCCATGCTGGGGAATGCAGAGGCTGAGGCATTGCGGGGTTGCAGAATTGCATGTGGCACATCAAGCTGATACCGGTGTCGTCTTCCTGTGAAATCTGCTAAGCAGGCAGACGTGTCTTCAGACAGACCAGCAGATTTTGGAAGAGAGATCAGGAACCCCAGAGTATGTGTTAATTGTTATGTGCGGCTTAGCAGCGCAAGCAATCGTTTCAAGCAGATAGACGGCATAGAGGCAGGGCAGCAGGGACTGAGAGGGGAGTGGCCACGCTGCTTGCAGTATCTCCATGTTTTAGTGTTGAAGTTTACATGGACCATTTGACATGTTTTTGTTGGGGGCTAGCCCCGTTTGCTGAACGTTTTGCTTCCAGGGAATGCGCTGGAACCGGTGGGCCCACGTTGTCTGTGATGCCGATGGGGAGCACAAGGCACCTGTGCAGATTTACCAAGACTGCAATGTCTTCCTTTTCTGAAATTGGCCCCGGCATCGCCCTCCCCGAGATGGACTTGGAACCTGGTCGACAGGGCTACATGCTCTGCGTAGAGGGCAGCGTGACGTTTACGGACCCTGCTGGCAGAGCCCAGCACCTCCAACAGCATGATGCCGCGGAGCTTAAGGGACCATTGTGCCTACAGCCACAGGCTGCTGACAAAGGAGCCATGCTACTTCTTTTTGAAATGCAGCAAACATCAGACAGTCGATTCTTTTATTGACTGATCTTGAACTGATGCTTCATGCTGCGTGGGTCACTGGAGAGACGATGGACCTCCGCAGCCACATGCCGCACACTGCGACCTCTGGACAAATGATGGGCCGAGAGCGTGCGTTGCGCTTGCAGGGCAAGAGCCCGCCACGGTTGCTCAAGCAGCAGCTACAAGGCTGCAAGTATAGCGGTGGCGAGATTGAAGAAGCATCGGTTACATCAGGCTCCAACTTTTAAGCTGCTTGAGAGAACCTGGCAAGAAGTGTTGTATAGCAATTTTGAGATCACGGCTTGGCAGCCGAACTCAATTCGTTTATGTCCATGCACGAAAAAAGTATGCGGCCCGGAATGAGATCATATTTTGCTGGGAGAGTCTTATGCGACATACCTTGAATGGTGAGGCATGTCTGTCCTAAGGTTTGTGAACACAGCCCAGCAACCGCCATCAAAGGCCCAAGTTGCCTTTGTCTGCAATCCAGCGACAGCCTGAGAGCTATCCAAGTTGCGAGCAAAAACTGTCAATTGCAAGTCTTCTTCATTCTTCTTCTCTTTTGTTCAGTCTGCTTCGCGCGAAGTATCTCTTTGCTTGACTTGCGCAAGAATCTACCCTAATATATGTCACCAGGGTGCGAGGACTGCTAGGATTCCGAGACGTAGCTCAGCTTAAGGGAGCCATGTCCGAGTAAATTAACACCTTTCAACAACTCAGGTTACTGGCTTGGTGAGCCTGACTGGCATGTCTTGCTGCCACCTCCACGCCCCACCGTTGCTGCTGGTAATCGTCAGGGAAAAGGGAAGACCTCAACATCGCCAGAGCAATTAACAAAGGAGTGCAAAGAGCCAGAATAGTGACGCATGGGTCGTGGGTAGCTGCGCTTTGTAGATTTCTGTTTCTCTCCTCCTCCTTGCTGGCTGCTACTGACTGCTACCGACTGTCACTGTTTTTTCTGCAGCCAGGCCTCGCTATCCTGCCGCTGGGTAAGGACTGGACGCTTCCATCAATGCCGTTGGCTGTGGCAGCATAGGGCTTGGTTGTCCAAAGCTGTTTAGGGTTTAGGGTGGTGCAATATCCGGGCGTGGACCTCAACAAGCCTGCAGCACAAAAAAAGTTGATGCGATAGGAGCATGAGCAGAATGTTAATAAGTAATAGTAATAGCAATAGTAATAGTAAATCAATGTGGGCAGCACAAGGGCTCGGGCTTGGAGCATCTGTAGAGGCGATGTTTAAGTCCCCACCCCGCTCAGGTGGCCGCCAGTGCCACCGGCATCTTACTGCTCGGCTCTTAAAGCCCACGGGATGGAGCTGCCCATTATTGTCATTTTTTCTACTACTACTGCTGCTGTACGAAAGTATTTCTAATATTTAGAAATGGGGAAGTATTTCGAGCATAATGAGTAGTATGAATTAATTTTTAATTACTGTGCTAAACATAATGAGGTTCCAGCTGCGTTTGACGCAGCTCACATCTCCTTTAACCGTGGCTGGCCAAGCTTCGTCAGAAATTAGTAGTATGATGATATTGATAAGAATAATTGGGAACAGTGGTTCAGCAACTTATTTTGTGAGGTTTCTGTGCTCTCGGTCTTCCATGACGTCGCGATTGCGCAGGGCTCAGACCATAGACAGGCAGCTAGCATCAATCGCCGGAGAGCATTCGCGCAAAGGTGCTCTTCTTTTTGATTGCAGATGGTGAGAGGCCCTTGTTGAGGGCAGATGGGCAAACCTGACAAGAGAAGTAAGTCGAGTGCAAGTCCATCTGAGCCTCAGTCTAAACTCCTAGTATCCCCCTTAATAATCCCTACAGTAGTCCCCTACATAATCCCCTATATACCCCCCCCTTAAGGATTTTAGACTATACCTCATCTCTTCCTGAAGGTTTACAAAAGCACAGCAAGCCGGTTATGCAGCCATGGCCTTGGGAACTTGCCCAGTCGAGTCACTGCAAAGGCGGCTTGAGGCAGAGTAGATGACCATAAGGGGCTTCTTATAGGAGTTGTATAGGGATAATGGAAAAGAAAATGGAAGCTAATGGGTTATATAAGGACCACTATAGGGATTCTAGCATATATATATATAGGGATTATATAGGGATAATGGAAAGGAAGCATGGAAGCTACTGTTTAGGGTTTAGGGTTAGGGCTAGGAATCGACTCTTAGGCTGTGGAAGGTATCCTGGACGTGTCGCTTGCCGACCGGTAGCAGTCCCCATGAGTTAAATGATGCCTTGTAGGTGTCAATCTTCCAGCATAGCGTGGATGCAGAAAAGCTCAGCGACACTAAGCACCAGTCAGGAATTGAAGTTTGCAGTCAGCATTAGGTTAATGGTTCCAGATAAGTTCAATCTGAACTCATGATGCCATCCAGCTATGGCATCAACACAGCTCCAGCCGTACAGTCGGCTAGACCAACTGCGCGGTGGGCGGGCCCGTCTCCTCGAATGAGGCCTTGCCTGCAAGCAGTTCAAGGACGGCGGGCTGCGCTGTCAGCATGGCTCTGCGGGCTTTCGGCTGCTGTGGGCTTCGCTTCCGCACCGCGTGCTCGGGCGCAGGCACGCTCCAGCAAAGCTGTGCTGCGCGAGAACAGTGATTTATCTGTGGCGTTTCCAATCTGGCATGGTGGGGAACCCACGCGTGCAGCCACCGAAGAGCTCCTGCAAGCCAGTGGAGGCAAGGCGCCAGCTGGTGCTGAGGCCGAGTGGGCAGGGCTCTGGCGAGTTTCCTATGCCCCGCACATACGCACTTTGGGATCGCTGGCCCTTACGCAGCTGGACGTCTACTACGACATTGCAGCACCCAAGCCGGGTACATCCCCAGAGATCAGATCCTTCGTGAGATTTGAGGCATGGCTAACGGAAGACGTAGGCAGCAGGAGCAGTGGTCCTCGAATCAGAAACGTCAAGATTTCATCATTGCATGCGTAGGTGCACAAGCGGCCGCATGCCATTGCCAATTTCAATACTGTCGCCAGGGACCTTTTGGCCGCGGCTGGCTCAATGCGGCGGGCACGCTCTCGACACTGGCCACTGATGAAGTGGAAGTCAACTTTGCTGACTTCTGGATTGCAGCCTGACCAAATCTCAAGAAATGCTTCTGAAACCTAATTTTTTACCTTATTGCCATGTGATCACATCTCAGGGGTTCCTTGGCAGCAGCTGCGCTCAGGACCTCGACACGCCCCTTCCTCGACCTGCACCTGATGATGCGGATGGCTTGGGGAGCGCCGTGGCGCGTGCAGCGTGGCGGCACCCCACAATTGGCTTCGGCAGTTGTGTTCGTAAGCAGAGCCGGTTTTCCAAATTTGTTGAATCCTGGCTGGGAGGTCTTCTTCGTGCGGGATCTAAGCCGCTTCCCTGCCGGGGCCTATTTTGCTTCTTCAGGACACGACGCTGTGCTTCAATGTGTGCTTTGGAGGTCCGGAGCCTTGACCTTGAGAACGGTGTGACCGTCTTCCGCTTCCCTCCCCTCGGTGTGGAAATTTCTGCCTGCCGAGTGGGTGCTAGTGGTACTGCCCTTCGACCACTCAGCTCTTGAGGATGACTTCATATCCTTAGGACGGCTATTGCCAAAATGTGTCGCGCCATCAGCGCGAGACAAAAGCCATGAGCGGAGTTCCGCAGATTTCTGAAGCATACGGAGAACTTGTAGGGGTTCCTTTGCATGCACATGCGAGGTGTCTGCAGCAGGGGCGATCCTGTACAGCTGCGCCAAGCTGCGCTGGCGGCTCAGACCTGCACGGATTCGTAATGCGCGACGTGAAGCTCAGATTGATTGCGAAACCCAAGGCTATTCCAACCTTGCAGAGGCACCTTTGGGCCAGTTCCCCAATATACTGTAGTAGTTTCCATTTTCTTTTCCATTATTACTATATAACCCCCCCAATATGCTTGCCTCATCCACGGCATCAAAACCTCAAGCGGTCAAATGCGCCACGAGGACGGCAACTCCTCTGAGATCGATTCTCAAGTTGAGCAAAGTTTCTCGATGACGCCTTTGGCGGTAAGGCTTCACTAGACTGGTTTAGGGTTTAGGGTTGACCACTAGACCTGGGTTGCTGTTAAGGAACTTAATTTAAGTTACTATATTGGGGAAACCCTATTATTTACTATGTATACCCAATATGGTAACTTAATCTAAGTTCCTTAGAGTTACCCCAAATAATGGAGAATCAAATGGAAAAGAAAATGGAACATGAAATGGAAACTGGGATGATATATGGGTTATATTGTTCATCCACCTGCCTGTATGCACAATTCAGGAAGGCCGGACTGCGGTTGCACTTAAGCTGCCAAAAGCAGCTTTTGCTTAGGCCGGATAGCTTGGCCTCACACTTGTCTCGGTCGCAATTGGCACCAGGGCAGCATCAAAAGATCAGGTTGCATCAGCCTGCAGCTTCACGACTGTAGCTTGGCCAATTCGCTGCGGGGGATCTAGAATCTAGCCCATCTAATCTACCCTCGCCGCCCGACCTGGCTCTGCAACGCTCCGGGTTGAGTTTTGTCGCCTCAGCCAGCAGGGTGTGCGGTGCCCTGCTTTTCAAAATGTTGCGTCCTTGCGGCACTTGTGGCAACTTATGTCTGCGAGTCAGCACTTGAGGCCTCCCGTGCAAAGCACTTGGAGGTGCATGCTGCGAGTGCGGCATGCTCCGCCCCAAGGCCAGAGTATGAGTAGCTCATAGGTGGGGGTTTCACCAAATTAGGGGTCCCTTCTTGGGGATCACAGGACTGTAGTATATTGGGGTCTATATTGGGGGTCCCCCTTTTTTGGGAAACGACCAGATGTGCCTAGAGCCTACTTCACCTTGTAGTGAGTTCATGCTCAAAAAGGCGGTCAGCGCTTTCAAATCGGCTTTGGTGGCATCCTGAGCAGTCCGCGAGCCACTGAGCTTGCCGAGCCTGAGGAATTGCGGTTTGCAGGTGAATCAATTTGGCGAGTCGGCCAGGGGCACCGTTGAAGCAGAGGCAGGAGAGAGATGGTCATCTGATCTCGTTCCAAACTGCAGCTCTGCGTTAAATGATCTATCCTGGTCTCAGGTGGCTTCTTTCTTGCAGGGTCGCGCGCTGTTCCCTCCTCAGGCTTCAAGAAGTGCGAAGGCTCGGTTGCCTGGAGGTTCTCCCAGATGCAGTCACAGTAGGGAGTGGCACTGATTCTTCTTTGAGGTCTCAGCTTGTCATTTCGCAGCCATTCGAAAGCCGTAGAAAGTACCTGCCGTGCTTGATGGGCCGCTTTGGCCGGGCAGCGCCTGCTGTGAGTCATAGAGGCTTGGCATGAGTTGAGGGTGCCAAGCGTCTGGCACTGACATATTTTCAAACCGAGTTGCCTTGAAAAGCCGTGGAGGCGGACCTCTTACCTGGTGGCTCTTTGCCGCCCTGTTCTGGCATGGCTGGCATAGGCCGATTTCTCCGCAAGACTTTACCCCCAACGGGCTCACACCGAAGGGAGGTGTGAGCCGATGCTTAGCAACGAGCCGCGGCTGCAATCCGCTGCACATGTTCGCCAATGTACGTGGGTGGTGTAAGTGTACTGGCTTGTACTGGCTTTGCCTTGGGATGTTATTGGCTTGTCATGGCTCGTGGCCATGCCCCAATGCCCCAGGAATGGACGGCCAGCCGGCGCCATGCTCGCACAGATTGCCTCTACAACTTCCACAGACACGGTGATCACGGCATGTTTAGCGGATGCTTTGGCAAGCTAGCAGCTAGGCCTCTCCGATCTACTGGCTTCCCACACGCCTGGAATCATCGTCTTTGGCGCTGAGTACTGCGGCCCCTGCAAGGCAAATGGCTCAGGCGAGAGCAAGCGGTCATCATGCATACCGTAAGGCAGGCAGATGGACAGATAGATGGACACCCACACAGAGACACTTGCATAGAAATAGTAGTAGAAATAGAAATCGGTGCAAACGTGTGCAAATGCATACGTCAGCACACAAACACACACCTTTGCAATGGATGTATGTAACGTCCGAGGTGCTTCTGGGCCGGCTCAAGCGCATGGGACTCTCTGAGGCTTCCCAGCCCGGCATCCCCACAACCGTTTGGACTCCCGGCCTTGCTTAGGCCGTAACCTATGTGGATGCGGAAGACTTGGCCCCGGGCGGTGGCGCGGCTCCGTGGCAGCAAGAGGGAAGATGAGGGAAGATGAGGGGAGGGCGCCTAAGGGAGCTGGGAAGGGGAAGTTGCTGCGGCAACATGACAGGACCTGCTGAACGCGGTGCTGCGCGGTGCTCCTTTCAGCCCTCCGTTGCCTGTCCTGGCCGTTCTGGATGCGGCTGGGCTGCGCCAAGTTGAAGCCGGGCAGGACGCAGAGCGAATGGTCGACAACACAATTTTTGAGCTACCTTTGTTGCAGTGCCCGCCGACACCATACTCTAGGAGCTTTACGCTTGCCTTCGGAGCATAAATGTTTTCTGATAGCAGCGCTCACCAGTCAAATGTGAATGAAAGGTAAACGCACCCAAGGGGCAGCAAAGCACTGCCAACTCAGCCAAGCAAATTCTATTTGGAGCGCAAGGAGCTGCTTGCCTTGACCGATGACGACCTCATCAGGCTGTGCAGTATCGACTGAATTGCTGCGATGTTGGCACACAATTCGAGCCTTGGGTAGCGGTGTAGCCCCAGGGTTTGCGAGCCTGTGCGAGATCAACTCCGGCATCAAGGAGCGCACGGGAACCCTAAAAAGGTGGCACATGACCGTGATGCACTGCGATGCATCTCTGTAAAATTGTTCTGAGGGCACCGCGGAAGTCTGCAGCCACCATAGGGCTCAGGGAGGCTCAGGCCATCCATTTTTTCCAGTTTACTCCTTTTTGGTGCAGCTCACAAGATTTCAAAAGATACCGCTTGCACTTTACACGTCAAATATCAGTACAGGAAACTAGATGTCCAGATCCTACCGGTCCTACGGCACGGCTTCAGCAAGCACGCCCTGCGCTCTGCGGGCTTAGTAAGACGGGCAGAGACACTGGCAATGTCCGTTTCCTGTGGCATAGAGCCGGAGGTCGTGCCTCTCATGCAGATAGTCCAGGAAGTGTGTGAAGTCCACGCTTGCATTCAATGCCTAACCTGAAGAAAAGCTCCTCTTCGGTTGCTTCTGCAGCGAGCACCAGGTAGAATGATTGGTGGAGTGGCGTTCCTGCAGCCGACTTCCACACCGCAACCTAGCAAGATAAGTTATGCCTTGAGGCATCCGTTGTCCGAAGGCGCACTTAGCACTTGCGCACTCTTTTTGCCAAGTCTCTTTTGAGGCGTGTTTACTGGGTCAATGCGCATGTGGCTTTGCCTACATCACCCGGAAGAGTTTCTTTGCCCTCATCGTTGCCAACTCAGCTTTTCAAAGCGCCTTTCCATGGTTGTGGTAAGGTGTGGTTGCCTAAGGACCGTCTCAAGCCCTGTCATCACACACCGAGCGCTGGCACATGCGGCCGAGCGCTTACAAGTGACTACTTGTTTTGGACTTGGGACAGAAAACCCACAGCTTCTCTTGAGGTGCCTCTCCATCGCCAGTGTACCCGGCTGTTCTCTCAGCCAAGTACAGCCTCCATCCCGGCCTACGAGCCCGTTCGGCAGGTGGACTGGTAAAATGGGCACTTGCGGCTTTTTCCAAAGCCTCGCAGCAGGTCTCTGCTCCTACGAGTGCTTCCGTTCCGAACCCCTTCCCGCGTACGCCACGCCGGGCCCCTAAGACATTAGTCAGTGGCAGATAGTTTCCGCAATGTTTGTCGAGACCGCACACAGTTTTGAGCTCATGCAGGCCTCGAAGCTCGTGAGCTCTTCCAGCCACCGCCGAGGGTGACAATTGCTACGAAGCTGGCCTCTGTAGACAGCCCGCGGAACACAGCAGCTCGGCTTCGTTCATCCTTGTGCCTGCGCGCTTTGCACTGGCAAGATATGAAGCAAGCTGGCAAACCCAGATCGTGGCTCCGCCAACCCAGCAAGGGGTGGCAACACCACCAGTGGAACCCCACTTACCGCTGAAGATACGAGGCTTGATCTGAAATGGCTTACAGCTGCGTCGAGGAAGGTCAGGTTTGGTCGCTCTGGCAAGTTGCTTGGCCAAGGAATCGCTTCAACAGCTCAGAAGGCTTCGCAGACGCGACCCTGCTGGATTTGGCCCTGTAGCACTTCAACACACAGCGTTCCACTCTAGATAGGGAGGCTTACTGGGCATGTGATGCTTCTGATGCTTTGCTGGTGTTGGGAATTGCCCAGGCCACGGTCTCCACAAGTGAGCCACAGATCAGGCAGTGGCTCAACAGATGCAGAAGCGCCGTGCTTTAGGTTTCTCTGCAGCTCATGCAGTCATGGGTGCGATACGAAATCTTGGTCAGCCGCCAGGGTTCCGGTGAGCCGAGATTGAACAGCAAACTCGAAGAGCGTGCAGGTCTTGGTTGGGCCAACCCTGCAGACCCGCTGTCAAACACAACGCCGGTCTGCAAAGGCTCATGGGTCTGTCAGCAGCAACCGCGCTGGTAGCAGCACTGTTGCAGTCAACACTACGTCACATGTGATACCACCATCATCATTGTCGCCACCACCTATGACAACGCTTCTGCTGCTGTCATTGTCATTATCAGATATCATCATCAGTTTCACCATGTCATCATTTTTACTGCAATGGTCATTATTCGCATCATTGCCCGTATCATTGTGGCGGCCCTGTTGTCAATGCCTGGCATCGGAGATGTTTGGATGGATTGCGTTTTGAATACAGCTGTCTGGCCTGCAGGCGTCTCAGTGATGCAAAAGCGACGCGACCTCCTGAAAGTCAAGGCTCAGGACCGAAGTGGGGAACGCTCGGTGAAGCCACGTCTCAGGAAGCTTTCTGCTGTGCTCGCGCGCAACACAGGAGATGCGAGCTGTCGAGCGAAAGCTGAGACAGGACGACAGTGATCAGCTTCATGTCTTTCACGCCTAGTCCGAATTAGAAGGATGGTGACATCATATGGAAGAGCCCTAAGCTAAAAACGGTATGATAGGTCCGAAGCAGGTGGAAAGGCAAAACCCTAACACGTCGCAGATTGTTGAGAGGCAGAAGCCGAGCGTCGGGTGGCCGAAGCTGAGCGGATTCGCAGCGAGGCCTTTCCAGGATTTTAGAAGGATCAGAATGTAGTTCCAAAGTTACATTCCACGTCTTGATTGTGAGCTCATGCGTACGTGGTACGTTCATGCCTGCATTTGGTGAATTCTACTTTCAAGGCAAGTCTTATTTTTGGACGCATGTCTGCGTACCCGCAATGCTGAGCCTACTACCTAATACTAAATGTTCTCCATGCAGGACGAGTTTTTAATCCCCTCCTCTCAATATTAAAACCTCCCGCCCGATGAATTTACTATACCACAAGAATATTGGATATTGCGGGGGGCGGGGGGTTCTGTAAGATTAGGGGGAGAGGTGTTGGGTCATCCCCCTTTGGGGGGGCTACAATAACTCCTATTACCCATTGTGGTAACCGTTACTGTAAGCCAAGGATGTGTTATTAGGGGGCTTTGGTAGGTCAATCCCCCCTTGAACATGAATTAATGGGGCCTTAACATGCCTACAATAGTCTTTTGCGGGATTGCTGTGGAACTTAAACTTATTTGAAGTCACAATATTGGGGAAACCATATTCATTTCTATATATCCGCATAGTTATGGTAACTTAATTTCAGCTCCTTAACAGCAACCCAGATTACTGGGTGGGGGGGATTGACCCACCAAGGGGGTGGGGTGGTGTTCCTTGGGGAAGACTTGCAGCGAGGCCGAGCGACAGCGAGCAACACTCCGCCAGAGAAGTGAAGATGCCCAAAAAAAGCAGCAGGAACAGCGTGGCCCTTAGTGGCGTTATTTTCGGGCTCAGGGTTTAAGGGAATGTATGTAGGCTCACTTTTCGAAAGGCAGGGAGTCGGGAGACACAAGGCCTAGAAGGGGAAATTTGCGACGCTCAGTTCTTTAGATGATCTTGCATCTTGAACATGGTTCTGACAATTGATGAATCTGAAGGTGGCAACTGTTGGTAAGTCTGTTGAGTCCAGGAGCTCTGCCACAGTGATCCCAGTCGCTGTAGTGCTGATCCACTTATTGGTGCTTAAGGGAGAGTGGGAAAGTGGATCCTTGCCATATTCCCTGTGGAATGCCCCCCAAACCCTATAATAGTCCCTATATTCACTGCCCCACCCCCCTTAAGCACCAGGAAGTCTTCGCAAACGGCACCGCATGTGCGACCCGAACCCAAGGCGTGAGAGTCTCGCCGTGGAGCTACGGCGCCTTGCGGAGGCTGGGTGCAAATCCTGTATATAATGTAGGGTTTAGGGTTTAGGATTTAGGGTTACATATCTGTATATGGTAATTTCCCAAAATAGGGGGACCCCAATATAGACCCCAACATACTGTAATCCTTGTTATAGGGACCCCCAAAAGGTACCCTTAATCTTGGGAAACCCCATATAAACCTATGTGGTTTCAATTTTCTTTTCCATTGATCCCTGTATAGTCCTTGTGTATCCCCCAAAAATGAGTTCCCGCATAATCCCGAAATAACTTCTAGGGCCCAAGCCTGCATGTACCAGAAGCAATCAAGCAGTAGCTAGTGCTTTGCACGTGAAAAAAACATGCCATACCAGAAGGCATCGGGCACGAGCGGTTTCCCCTTGTCGGATTCAGCGCGATGTGCCCAGGCTAAGGTCTGTAGCCATGAGCTCGCCATGAACTGTTGAAGTGAAGAGTCGTAATTATGGTCATATCATGGTAATACGATGGTGATTTAATGGTAAGGTAATGGTACGTACGCCAATAGTCACTGGCAGAGTCTCGCTGTGGAGGCCAAACGCCAGGTGCGGCGCGAGGAGGCCTTGGAGGCCCACCATGGCAGACGTCAGATCATCAGCTTCTGTCAGCTCCTGTATGCTTATCGGAGAGCGAAGCAGATAGGCTGTGAACATCTGTGAACCTTGTATCCTGCCTTCCAGTGCCTTGCATATGCCTTGCAGAATGATGGCTCGAGGCCCCTGAAGCTGGGGGCTCAGGCGAGCATGGCTGCTCAAGAGGGGCCGCCTGAGGTGGACAACTCTGCAGTCGGCGCGCCCCAAGGAGTTCAACACCGCCCGCATGAGGGGCGCAGACGTATTGCCTTCGGCCCAAACTCCAACACGCGTGCTGTCTTTCCAAGCAATTTCGTCTCAACCACAAGGTACAAGCTTTGGACGATTCTTCCTCTGAACTTGTATGAACAGTTTCACCGTACAGCCAATGTCTGGTTCCTCATAGTGTCCATCTTACAGATGCTGCCGTTCAAGATCTCGCCAACGACCTCTTGGGCTACTCTCGTGCCTTTGTGTATAGTTCTTACTGCAACATTCTGCAAGGATGCGTACGAGGATTTCAAGAGGTGGAGAGATGATTGCAGAGTGAACCAGCAGCTTTGCGCCACATTCACAATTCCGAATGAAAATGCACGCAACTCTTCTCGAGACAACTTCGAGAGCATCAAGTGGTCCCAAGTGAGGGTAGGATCCTTCATCAAGATCATGAGGGACCAGCCGGTACCAGCAGACATGCTGTTGATCTACTGTCAGCCAGGCACTGTCGCTTATGTTGACACGGCACAGCTGGACGGGGAGTCCTCACTGAAGGTGAAGCAGTGCGTGGATGAGACCCACCACATGGTGAAAAACACCTTACTTCGCAGTGTGGAAGGACACATGGAAGCTGACATGCCCAACGAAATCGTAGGGCGCTTCGATGGCTGCCTGTACCTGAAAGGTTTTCCGCGCGGAGTGCCAGTGGGACTCAAGAATCTACTGCTGCGAGGATCAACCATCAGGAATACCCAGTACGTCATTGGGCTTGTGGTGTATACCGGCGTGGACACCAAAATGGTGCGAAACTCTAGTCGTTCAATCTCCACGAAGCGCTCACACGTGGAGATCATGTCTAATAAATTGCTAATCATTGTTTTCTTTTTGCTTTTTCTAATATCCATCGGCTGCGCGATAGCAAGAGCTAATCTGATTGGTGATTCGGCTGGTGCCCAGAATCTGAGATGGGTGTGGAATGCAGAGAATGAATACCAGCTGCAAGACAATCCTTATCTCGCAATCCTCACCTTTTTGATTGGCTACAACAACCTCATCCCCATCAGCTTGTATATGACGACGGACTTGGTCCGGGCGATTCAGGCTTTCATCATGGAGAAGGATGAAAGCATGTACTATGCTCAGGGCAAGACTCCTTGTACGGTTCGCACCTCGGCGCTTTGCGAGGATCTTGGCACGGTGGATTTTGTTCTCACTGACAAGACCGGGACTCTGACGCAGAACGAGATGTGCTTCAAAGCCTGTTATGTGGATGGCCAGACATACGGCTACTGGTCAAACGTGGCAGATGAGTCCTTGGATGGCACCAGCCATCCAGCGCAGGAGAGTTATGGTTATCCAAGTGATCATATTGAGAGGATCCCAACACGAAGCGTTTGCTGGCCTCTCAGCCCGCTTCTTTGGGGCATTCCCAGTGATGAAGACCCACATTGGAGCTATAGCCTCGAGTCCGCGGTTCACAACTTCTTCCTCTGCCTTGCCACTTGCCATACCGCAATGCCAGAGAAGAACCAGGCCACCTTCTCGACTACGACCAGCAAGCGAGCAGCAAAGTTAGAGACGCTGAGTGATGTCGAGTATGTGATGCAAAATGACCCAGGCATGCGTGGCCTAAGCCAACAGGACGTTCGATTGCGAATGGAGCTGCTACTGGACGCAAATCAAACACAGTTTCGGAGCCAGTCACCAGATGAGGAGGCCTTGCTAGCAATGGCCCGTGACTTTGGCTTCTTCTTCAAAGAGCGTCATGGCAACAAGATCACCATCAACATCCGGGGCCAAGAGGTGCACTACACCGTGCTCATGGTCAACGAATTCTCCTCTGAGCGCAAGCGGATGTCAGTCCTTGTGCGTCAGTGTTCCGAAGCTGGTGTCATACCGCAGACGTCCCAGCACATGGTCAGCAGCATACTGCTGGGAGCAGGGGGTGCCATGTCCATGGAGAACCTCCCGCACGTGTCTGAAGGCTCTTACATCTTGTTCGCCAAGGGTGCCGACTCAGTAATGCTGGATCGCATGCGTCAGAAAGATGAGAGGGCACGCCAAGCTGAATTTCACGGCTTGGATGATATGACCCATGCTCTGTCCCTGGATCCAGATCGGTCCAATGAGGAGCCTAGTCAGGCCAGCCCTCGCAGTCTAGACGGCAGAGGTAAAAGAGGCAATCGAGCTGGCCTAGCGATGGGTCTCACTGCCGGAGGGTCCGAAGGGAAGTTGCGGGGGCCGAAAGTTCCATCCCCTTGCTCCTCAGCTGGCCTTGCGGCGGCTCGGGCACCGATGGAGCCACCAATGCCCAGTGGTAACCCTGCAATGCTGGACCCAGACGAGCATTCAGTAAACACTTCGAGACTTTCAGCGAAGTATGACCAGGCGGCACGCAGCGCTGGGCTCATGAGTTGGTGTTCACGTAATGGGCCGGAGGGCACCATCGACTCTGGTGAGCCAGACGAGTGCCCGCGCAAGAAGAAGATGCGCATGGCTAAAGAGCAGGTCCGACACTTTTCCATGCATGGTCTGCGGACACTTGTTTGTGGCCAGCGGGTGCTCACGGATGCAGAGGCTGAAGCTTACATTAAGAAGTGGCAAGGGGCTCGAACATCCTTTTTCAACCGCGATGAGCTTCTGAATCGGGTGATGGATGAAATGGAGCGAGACTTCGATTTGCTGGGAGTCACGGCCGTCGAGGACAAAATCCAAGTCGGGGTTCCAGAGACTGTTCAGATGTTGCTTGATGGCGGCGTTCGCATCTGGATGCTCACAGGAGACTGCGTCGAGACAGCCGTGAACATTGCTAGCATTTGCCGCCTAATTGAGCATCGCTCTAACCTGTACTACCTCACGTGTGAGGAAACACCTGCCAGTGGGCACAGTGACTCGCAGAGCGCCCTCCTGCTGGAGGAGAGGCTCAGGTATATCCATGATGGGATCTTAAAGGAGCTGAAGCACACTCAGGGTAAAGGATTTCACTACAGTTTGGTGCTTAATGGCCCGGCATTGTATGCGATCCTAGAAGCTCCAGACACCGTCCTGTACAAGCTGTTTGTCACAGTTGCTTGCAATTCCTGCTCTGTCATTGCCTGCCGACTCTCTCCAGCACAGAAGGCTTCGCTTGCAGAGCTCATCAAAAAGGACGTGCCAGGCTCTCCGATAACCTTGGCTGTGGGCGATGGTGGCAACGATGTGAGCATGATTCAGAAAGCCCACATCGGGGTTGGCATTGCCGGTGCAGAAGGCCGCGAAGCAGTCAATGCTGCCGACTTCGCTATTGGCCAATTCCGTTTCTTGAGGTCCCTCCTCTTTGTCCACGGACGAAGCAACATTCGACGCATCGGGATGGTGATTGGCTACTCTTTTTACAAGAACTTCCTGCTCGTCCTCAGCATGGCATGCTATGCTCCTTTCACTGGCTTCAGCGGCACCACTTTCTACGATCCCTACCTGATCATGATGTACAATGTGGTTTTCACCAACGTGCCCATCTTCATTGTCGGGGCGTTAGATGTTGATGTCTATGCTCCCGCGGCCTTAACCTTACCAAAGCTGTACCTCTTTGGCATGAGCAATGCGTACTTCAATTACCGGATACTGGTCACTTGGCTCCTCCGTGGCACCATCCATGCCTTGGTTAACTTCAGTGTCGCTGCTGTCTTCCTGGGCGGGGTAGGCGGCTCAGCAGGGGCATTTCCTGAGTACTTATCCCTGGGCACTTGGTCTTATTGGAGCTGTGTCGTGGTGGCGAACTCCACCCTGCTGCTGCACACACAGGTTTGGATGGACTGGCAGTTGCTCATCTCCCTCATATCCATCGCATTGTTTCCGCCCATCCTCATGATTTACTCCTTGCCCAGCATGGCCAACATCTTCAATCCGTCCTTTGTCGAGGTGGCCCCACATATCTTTCAGTCCGGGCCCGGATGGCTTAGCCTGTTGCTGGTGCTGGCCCTGTCCGTTCTCGTGGAGTTGGCGATGGATGCCTGGCAGAGGATCAACAAGCCTGACCTTGCAAGGAGGGTCCAAGAGTTCCAGCGCATCATGACTTACGCCAAGGATGCCCCGGAAGTACCGACACTTCATCGGTCAGTGTCCCCAGCTATACCAAGCAATAGTCGTGACATGAGCATTGTGCCAGGTGTGCCAGGTGCTGGGCGTGGTCAGTCGCCAGCCTCGCCTACCTCGCCGACGTCACCCATGTCACCGACGGGTGTGACACACAACGAGCTCCTATGGAATGCAAACCTGAAGCTGGAGAAGCTTTTTCCCGCTGCTTTGGTGAATTCCATCCCATGGAGTTACAAGCGCCGCAATTACAACCAGGGCGACTTCCAAGCTGAAGCAGCGCAGCTGAAGGAGTACACGAAGCATGCCACTCACCCACCCACAAAGAAGCCAGGGCTTCGATTAATCATGGAGCGCCCTTATCGAGATGAAGATCTTGCTCCAGATCCCACTTCCTGCTGTTTCTGTTGCGGCAAGCGCGGAATCAAGGCCAAAGAGTGGCGGCAGACTGTGAGTCAGATGCAATGGTGTCAGGTCAGCTTACTCTCAGACGTGCTGGGCAATAAGACTTCCCAAGACCAAGATGATGCGACCAGCAATCTCACACTTGCAGAGCGACTCTCGCAAGTCACAGGAATGCAGCTGGAACTCTTGGATCTGGATCAGATCGCTGAGCGTAAGCAGCACAGTGCGAGCGCCAACACGGTGGGCCAGCCAAATCCGGAGCACAAAGCACAGTCCCGCTTCAGCGTGAAGTACACCACTGAGTTCGTCTACAACATCTTCACGCTGAAGTTCAGATCCAGCTTGCATGAGCAAGCATTCTGCCAGATGTTTGACGATGCTAGTCGCAATCAATTTTTCGTTTCAGCCCGTGTGCTGACTCTACTGCTTGTTGGCTTTCAAGTTGTGAGGCTGCTGGCCTATTCTGTTGCGCCTTCAGACCCCTCTGAAGTTCTGTTGACCGTGGCAGTCATTGCGGGCTTTGCACTGGGATGCGAGGTGTTACTCATTCCGCTCCGGTTTGAGAGGATCAGTGCCTTCCACGCAACGTACCTGACAGCTGCCTGTTGCTTCTTGATCTTGGTGAAGCATGCAGTGGAGTTCACGTACAACTATTCCGGGTATGTTTTGGATGCTATTCTGCCATTGGTTTTCTGTGCTGGTGCAAACATGCGATTTCCATCGGCAATTGGGGTGCTCTTTTTGCACATTACCATGGTGACAATCCACTCCACTTTCTTCCTGAATGAAAACACGTGCATTGTAGGCAAAGGTACCAAGCAAGAGGTGAATGTGTGTAATGACGAGGGGCGCCTGCTGGTTGAGTTCTCCACGATCCAATTCGGCCTAGTGCTTCTTGTCGGTGCCTACATGTATCTCTCGGAGAGATTCGCTCGCCACAGTTTTGCTTGGGATGATCGCATTGGCACAGCCAGGAACGCTGACCGGGATCTCTTGAAAGGAATGTATCCAGAAGACGTCGTGGAAGCAGTTCGAGAGTCCTTCCGCAACCAGCAGCAGATCAGCGTGACAGAGCAAAAGGTGTCAACCACCAAGACCATTTTTCAAGAGCGCGGCGTCGTGACGGTGGTCTTCATTGACATCTATGCCTTTGAAAAGGTCGTGGCCCAATTGGCTCCCAATGAGCTGGTAGAGCTGCTGGATCGTGTCTTTACTCAGATTGACAACATCTGCCAAGAACATTCCATCGTGAAGATTGAGACTGTGGGGAAGACCTTCGTGGCTGCTGGAATGATCGACTTCAAGAAAAAGTCAGCTCGGAATAGCGTGCAGGTGAAGGCTTTCCTTTGCGTGGAGGCTGCAAATGCAGTCCTGCGACTTTTCAGCCGATGCACTACCGGAATTGAGCAGATGGAAAAGCTTTCATTGAAGATCGGGATCAACACCGGAAATGTGATCTCTGGGGTGGTCGGCTCACAAAAGCCGCAATTCGCCCTTTTCGGTGACACGGTGAACACGGCATCCCGGATGATGAGCACCGGGCAGGTGGACCACATCCATATCTCTGCCAGCACCTATGAGCATGTCAAGGGTGAGCCACATTACACGTGGACGGCCAGGAAGACCTTTGTCAAAGGCAAGGGTGACATGGATACTTACTTGCTGCAAAATGAAACAAGCCGCCGAAGGCAGGTGTCAAGTGGACTGACTCACGTCAACCGGGCAAAGTCTCAAGCTCGGGAAGGGAGTATGATCAATGTGGGTCCCGAGGTGCTTGCAGCCAGTGAAAATCGCTCAAAGATGTTTTGCCGGATGCTCTCTCGAGCCTGGGTCATGGACTGCATCAGGAAGTTCATTTCCTTCTGTGTTCGGGCATATGAGCTGGATTGCCTGAAGACAAAGCAGGAGCGCTCACTCCTGGCCTCTCTGGCTCTCTTTTGGTGCATTTTCTGCTTGGAGTCTTTTTACATCTGGATCGGGGACACTGGAGAACGTGCTTCAGACTTACAAATTTTCTTCAACATCCGTCTGCCTTTCGCAATCGTGCTCTTTGCAGTCATTGTGTGTGGCTTCGTTGTGGTTTCTTGGCAGGGTTGTACACTTTCTCTAGGAGATGATGCAAGGCAGCAGAAGGGGCAACATCTTCCTGAAAGAGCTGACTACAGCGAAACTGCAGACGGCACTGGCCTGGAAGTGTCTGAAGAAGAGGAGGCGCTTCAAGACCCACAGCCACAACGACATGGCTGGCCACGCGAAGTTTATTATTTTGGTATCTCAGTAGTGCTTCTTACTGCTGGCTACATCTGTGCCGTCAGCTCATCGCTTTATGGCCTGGCAAATGGGCGGTTTCAGGAAGTAAGCTATTGGATCTACTTTGAATCCATGTTCTACCTCTCGGCTATGATGCATCTGAATGTTCTCCGGGCAACTCTGGGTGCTTTTGCATCTGGCTTTGCCATCGTTTTGCCTGCCACGGTGTTGGGAGCATTAGCTGACTTCCCATCGGGGCTTATCTACCCCAGCGCGGCATACATTCTGCAGATGCGAATCATCCAGAGTCTGAAGTGGTACCAGCTCAAAAGCTTAGAGGGCTTGAGGATGGTCGAGATGGAGCACAAGGAGTGCTATTCCCTGCTCAACTCTTTGCTGCCCCAGGAAGTCTTGGAGTCTATGCAATCGGACACCCTGCAGCTCGCGTATACATACAGGGATATGACGCTGCTCTTTGCTGACATTGTGGGCTTTACGAAGTATTGCGCCACGCATCAGGCAAATGAAGCCGTCAGACTTGTGACGCACCTTTTCGCAAGGTTTGACGACTGCTGCAAGCTGCTGGGTGCCTACAAAGTCTGTACCATAGGCCGGGTTAGGATGTTTGGATGAACCATGGGAAAGTCAATCCAAGAACTGAAGCTACCCCCCTCAGGGTTTCATCCTAAGGAATTTTCGGATTCTGTCCAGGGTAACCTTGACTTGACGTAGGTGATGCCTACTTGGCCGTGAACGAGCCAAAGACGGAGCATGAGGATAAGGTCATTGGTGCCAGCGTGCTTCTGCACCTTGCCATGTCTATGCTGCGGGTCATTGTGACCGTTCGAAACGAGGTCCAGCATGAAGGCCTTGACATGAGGATTGGGCTTCACCATGGTCAGTTCGTGGCAGGCGTGATTGGGAGCAACCAGCTTCGCTTCGACATTTGGGGTGAAGACGTGCTCATAGGCAACCAGATGGAGTCAGAAGGTGAACCTGGACGCATCAACTGCAGCGCTACGTTTGTAGAGGTGATCCAGGCACACTTCCCACAGTTCAGCTTCACAGAGCACAAGGTCATCGCCTGCTCTGGAAGCAAAAAGACCATGCAGAGCTACCTTCTTGACAAGCCTCATGGCATTGGCACAGGCAAGGTGGCCAGCACACCGAGTGGCAAGATGCCACGGAACAGTGAGCGAAAGAGCAAGCGCGCCCGATGAGATTTCACCTGAATGGTTGGTTGTAGTTATTGTAGTTTGTAGAAGTATGAGATGATGTCATCTATGTTGTTCGTGTTGCTTGGGTACGACATATGACACATGGTTTTTTTGCAGCATGAGACAGTGTACGCAGAAGAATGATAAGTTCTTCTGCGCGCGCTCGCACAGTAGTACACATCACTAGTCTCCGAGAAAGTAGGCCTAAGAGATCTGGCCGGACGATCCAACAGAATTTCTGTGCCAGGCAAGCGCTGCATCACTTTTGGGACTCTGTCAGGAAGTCAGGAAAGCGTGGAAACGGCCCAATATCATCAGAGATGAACAATCTGCGAATTGAGGATCGGTGCTTGCGGATGGGACTGCGTCTCGGAGCTCTCGCCGCGGGATAATGTGTTGCACAGTTCCCCAAACCCTAAACCCTATACCGATAATTTGTTGTACAGTTGTACAACACTTTAAACCCTAAAACCTCAGACTTTAAACCCCATACCTCCCTCCATGGAGGCCCTGAAGCCTCGCATCTTATCCCGTGGACTAAGCAACTGTCAGGCTAGAGCTGGCTCTGATGTTGGGTACCGTTTCATGATTTTTCCAGTTTCATCATAGTTTCATCATAGGTTGTATTTTATTTCATTATAACTTATATGAGTTACATTATAGTTGCATGATATTGTAAATAAGTCTCATGCTATTTTATATTGGTTTCATTATTTCGGGGTGTCCAAACTGCCTAGACGTCAACGCAAGATAGTAGTGCCTGGCATGCCGGAGCCTGCGCTGTTGAAGTGTACCATGACTCTTGTAGCAGCCGTGCAGACTCATGGAGCACGTTACACGGTTTAGGGTTTAGGGGTTACACGTGAATGCATCTAGACTCCTGGAATGTTCCACGAGCATATCAAGCCGCGAAGCATTTTCTCGGGCTCCATGGGGCGCCAGCGCACAATGACATTGCAGCAGAGATACACATTGCAGTTCCATGCAATCAACTGCATACACAGTCGTGCTGCGCTTTGGACATTTGCGCTGAGCCTAGATCCTCTGCACCTATGACCAGGGAATTTATTCGGACCAAGATTGCCGGGCTCCTGCAAAGCAGCAGCCAGCAGATCCACATTGAAACTGCGGTGAACAAAAAATTGAAATGGGGATCCAGCAATTCCAGGAATGGTGATTGATAGGGAAGCTTCATGAAGTAAAGCCTGCTTGTGTCGACGTGAGGTAGACATTGCCTGATTCTAGGGCGGTCTGCTCGTAGCCGGGTACACCCTTGAGAAGCAGAACCGGGGTCCAACAAAATGGCAACCTGTAGAGCAGCCAGACACAGGTGGAACGGAAGCGTGCAGACGCGCAGAAAGCGCGCCAAGAGGCAGCCGCAAGACGAACGCAAGGACGCTTGTCCGCTTGTCAGCAGTGTAGTGACTCAGCAGAGTGTTAAGGTGTTGCGTCTGCCAGCATGCCCCAGACGAATGTTGCTGGGGGACGGAAGTCCCTTGATGTGTGAGACTGTCATAGGTGATCACGTAGGGAAGCTCATGTTGAGCAGCTGCGCACTTTCCCAAGTTGGTACATGAAATCACGGAAACTCCTGGCGCAAAGCGTCTTGCCCTTGAAGGAAAGCTGCTCGTGGTGGAGGAGAAACACCGACTTGCTGAGGTCTGGGGTTGGTACTCATGGGTTTAGATGGTTTCGGGCTTAGCTGGGCATCTGCTGATGGTGTCCCCGGCAGGAAGCCCGCCGTGTCTCAGAGGAGTTCCGCAAACGGAGGCTAAGCCTGGGGTCTGATTCCGGCACCTTGTCTGCAAAGCCACGCTAAAAGGAATTTGTGGGAAATTGGAGGTTGAGATGACTTGAAGGGCGCCGCAGTTGCTGTTGCTAGGAACCATGCAGTGCCGATAGCTAAAGCTCTGCTGGCCTTGTCTTGGGAAGAATTTCTTTTCAGGAAAGGCGAGCCCACGAATGGAGAACCTCCGAGGCTCGACATGCTTAGACTTGCTCTTGTACGCATGGCTGGCACACAGTTCCCATAGTCCTTCCTACTATAATCCGCGGGTGCCTCATCATGAGCATGGCGGCTGCTACAGTCTATAGTCATCATAAATAGTCCCGTGTTTGGCCACTTGCCGCCAAGTCAAGCCAGAGACAATTTTGAGGCGGACGCAGGAGTGAGATTCTGGACGCGAGGCGCATCATTTTGCTTTGTGGTGGCTGGAAGGGGGTGGCATTAGCGGCAACGTCATCCTAGCTGCACAGCATTCTGCTTGCAGCCTTTACGCATAAAAAGGAGGGCATGTCTCAACAGCTCACGCGGCACTGGCCTGTTTTACAACGCTACCTGAACGAGGCGCCGAGCTGTTTTGGAGCGCGGTCTTGCGCGGCGCAGGGCAAAAAGTGCCGGGCTCTCGGAGATTCCGTTTAAAAGATCTCCAGGCAGTATCATGACAAGGCTTCTTTTTCCAGTTACCATCAAGAGAATCCATCTGGGCCCAGGCTTTAGCTTGATGGGATGTGGCATGAATACTAGAATACTACGTGGCACAGCGAAGCCACCGCGGCAGTTCTAGGACTGGAAACCAAAGGTTGACAAGCCCATTGTCTCTTGTTTAAGCTGGCGTGAGTTACGAGGGCATTGGGACCCCGAACTGGCCCTAACTGTACGTGGACATTTCGCTTCTGCCTCGGGCGTCTTTGGACTGGTCTACCCCTGACTGATCTTCTGAGCAGTGACCTCTCGGAGTTGAAGTTCCCACACAAACACTGGGCATCCTGGACCCCCACAAAGGGGGTCCTACAAAACCGGAGGTCTTTGTCAAAAAAGGCTTACCACCTTGTTCAGGCCGATGCGGCAAAGGAATGCGAGGCAGGGTGGTCACAGTGCCAACGTCTTACATGGGGACATACCACGACACAAGGCTTTCTCCAAAAGTTAGTAGTAAGGATGATCGCATCTGGGGATCTACATAGGTGCCCCCTATTTATGGAACCCCCTCAGCTGAGCCAAGTGTATACATGCCAATTTATGCTTCATGTGCATAGGAGAAGCTCCATGTCAGAGGCATGCAGAGGGACCGGTGCCACAGGCAGAGCAGCGAAAGGCCGAACAAGAGAAGGAGCGCCTGGAGAAGGAGGAGGCTGCCTCATGATTTTTCTTCTGAGTATCCTCCTTCATGTGGTCTAATTTATTTGTTGTGGTGTTTCTTGCGTTGCTGTTATTTCTTGCTTTTGTCATTTTGATGATTGTCCCGCTGCATTGCTTTGATGGGAGCGAAGAGGGGCTACGAGAAATCTATTCTGAACGCCAGTGCTGGTGAACTCTCTGAACTTTGCATGAGGAGCCCGCAGTGCATTGAAAGATTCGTATGAGAGATTTGTGGGGCTTGAACATATTTTTGGATCTTTGGTTCAGCTCTTGAAGGCTAAGCTGGCTGAAGTCTGCGGTTTCAAGTTGTGTTGTCTCCGTTTGATTTTTCTTGGTTGATGAGACGGCTTGTTGACGTGGCTGGCTTCATCTAGGCATTGACGTTCTTCTTGATGCATGATGACACGGTTTTGCGACCTCTCTTGAACCATGGTTTCGCATGCGATGCCCCGTTTGTATATCTGAGCTCAAGTTGAAAGGATGAGATGCCTACCATAAGGGAGGCACAGCTTGCTCACGCAGCGCAGAAGCTGAACGGGCGGCAGGCTGCGCTGAGGCCGGCAGCGGATGACGATGAGTCCAGCAGCTCGGATGAGATGCCGCCCCTGGCTGTGTCTGTGATAGATGATCCCAGTGAAAGCTCAGAGGAGAGCACAGATGACACCACCATGCCGCCTTTGTACGGGGGTCTCCTCAAGCCTACGATCCCCACCCAGGCGTCAGAAGCTCAAGAGAGCTCTGATGACTCCATGCCGCCTTTGCAAGGCCATGATCGTGAGGTGGAGAGCTCCGAAGAGGAGAGCAGCGACACGGACGACGAGAACATGCCGCCGTTGCTTAGTGCTCCACAGCAGCGTCAGGTTCAGCTGGAAGCACCGGACGATGACTCAAGTTCCGATGACTCCATGCCACCCCTGCAAGCGCATGATCAGGAGAGGGAAGGTTCGGACCAGGGTGAGGGTGAACCCCATGGCGCACTGGAGCGCCGTGCTCCAAGCCCAGATGACTCAGATGGTTCCATGCCACCTCTCCATGCTCAGGTAGAGGAAGAAGGCGACAGCTCAGACGGAGAAACTATGCCGCCTTTGTGTGGAGTTGCGCAACCATCTCAGACGCGCACCAAGACAATGGACAGTCATGAAAGTTCGGACGACTCCATGCCACCATCATTTCAAGTGCATGGGAAGACCAGGGACCATGACGAAAGTTCTGATGACGACTCGATGCCACCACTCCAAGGCCATGATGAGCCGAGAGCTGAGGACCAAGTCCCTGCATCCGCAGAAGCCAGTCCCAACCATTCAGACGGTTCTATGCCACCTCTACGTTCACAGCAAGAGGGCGGTGAGGTCAGCAGCGACGAGGATGAAGAGGATTTGCCTCCGCTGTATGACTTGCGAGTCTCAGCCGCTGCAACGAGAGAACGGGAAGCCTGGCCTGATGCCAAGCCAGAGCCCACGCAGGGGCCCACGCAGCGGCCCACGCTCCAGAGCGAGCAGTCCCCCTGCGAGCCTCAGACCGAAGCCAAGGAGCCCAAGAAGCCTCAGGAGCCTAAGGAGGCCAAGGAGGCCAAGGAGGCCAACGAGGCCAGCGAGGCAGAGGAAGGGGCGGCGGATGAGGATGGCTCTGCCTCAGAGTCCGGTGACTCGCTGCCGCCCTTAGAGTTCATCAAGCGAGATGTCGAGGAGACGGTAAGCATCGGAGACTTTGTGCAGTTGACCGGCTTGAAGACTCCAGGCCTGAACGGTGCGCAGGGCTACGTTGTGGGCCTACCTAGCTTACCGAACAAGGACAGCCGGGTGGAGGTCAAGATGGTCTCAAATGGCAAGACCTTGTCTGTCAAGACTTCCAATGTTCAGCGCTCTGCACCGAAACAGGCGGCAAGGCACAGGCCGACTCAGAGCCTTCAGAAGGGTGACGAGGTGATTGTCAGAGGTTTGACCAAGTCCGTGGAGTTCAACGGTCAGAGGGCCTTGGTCCTTGAGGCCAACGAGGACCAAGGCCCAGACCGAGTAATGGTGGAGCTACGCTCAGGGCAACGCCTGTCGCTTCGACGTGACAAGCTCCAGCTAGTCACGGACAGTGACTCTGAAAAAGATGTTGACCGTTCCGATCCCATGCCTGAATTGAAGTGCGTCCGTCAGAAGCCAAAGGTTGAGGAGGAGCCTTGCAAGTTCAGGATTGGGCAGAAAGTCTACATCCACCTCAAAAACAAGCCTGAGTTTCATGGTCAAGCCGTCTTTGTTCTCCCTTCTGACCCTCTTCGGGTGGACCCCGGCATGGCAACCGTCCAGCTCTCCACGGGGAAGCGCATCATCACCAAGCTAACACACCTGAGGCCTGAGCCTCCGCAAGATGGCCGCAAAGGCCGAGGCCGGCCTGCTAGGAAGAGTGCACCTTGAGCTTTGCCAGTTCTAAGCTTTAGTGTTCATCTTATCTATTTGAATTCAGAAAGTTGACAGCTGAATAGCAAAATCTGAGCTCTCGAGCGCCTACCTCGCTGCTACTTGCGTTAAACATTTTGAAGGCCTTCGCAGGGTGTGCAGATCCGTCTTCGTTCCCCTTTTGATGTTAGCCTGGAAGAAGTCCAAAGGTTCATCGTCGTAGACAACAATACTCACATTCGAGTAGTAACACACAGGTGATCTGCAACGTTTCAGTGCACCGCGCTGTACATAGGAATCATAGGATGCTCCGGCTTTTCGGAAATCTCACAATCCTCCATGCCTGACACTCGCGTCGGCGTTTTGAGCTGAGGAAAACAGGTGCTGCCCTGCCTTAGGCTCATTGCGAAGATAGACCTTGGAAGATCAGAAATGGGAAAAGGCACCTGTCACTCCAAGAGTGCGCTCGAGGCCGAACGAAGGCGCATACGCCTCGAGCTGCCTGGCGGCACAAACAAATGCTGATGGTCTACAAGTCCTGAACCTCAGGGATAATTATTGCATCAGGGATGGCTAGGGTGTAGATGGCCCATCGTGACTTTTGCAACAACCGTCGTGACGTCCTGGAGATGCATCGCTCTGGCTCTTCACGCACACTTGTTGCACTCATCCGAGCACTCTACGACAACTTAACAAAGCCACTCCTGTGGCATCGGGATTTTTCTGGGGCTTCTTCTCGGGGCTTGTCTCATCACGCGGGCCAAATTTTTGCGGAGTAAATGGAGGACCGTTTAGAATGCCTTTGTGATGCTTGGGACTTGGGGCTGCAAGGCCGCCTGCAAATCGGAACATCAAATTTTCAGAGTCCAGGGCTACGAAGATTCAGCTTTACTTTCATGGAGGCTTCCCGAGGTTGTGGACGTTCAAAGTGCTGCGTCGTTGTTGAAGAAGAACTCACAGAGGGTCCCTCCCTTTAGCTGCCTCTGAGGCAGCAAAAGCGCCGGGCCGAGGAATCAAAGCAGCGGATTCAGGAGGCATTGGCCACCACTGATGGGCCTATGACAGCCGTGGCGGGCAAGAATTTGGATGAGGAATTGTAAGCGCAGAGCCCGCTAGCAAAGTAAGTAAGTCACAAAGTAGGAAGGCTGGTGCGAGGCGGGGGGAGGAGGTCCACCCCGGTGAGTCAGCTGGCTAGTGGGGCTGCGGGGGGTTAGGGAAGAAACAGAAAGAATTGAATGGCTCCCCTAGCCCGAGTTAGGCAGAAAACAAGAGTCATTGGGAGTAGGTCTTTTTCAAGGACAGGGGTCGAGGCGAATTTGGGTGGTGCTCTCAATCTCTCTTGCCTTTTCCATTCTCGTTACGAAGCTTTCATCCGATCATAGCAGTGAGAATAACAATGAGGGCTTTGGCTAGTCCAGAACGTAGATATGTTGTCTTGGTCCATGAGACAAGGGCATGCTCGGAGCTGGATTATACAAAGCATTCGTCCCATTCGCCAGGCGGGAGGCGCATGGCACGCTGTCTTGGGACTTACTGCCGCGGCAACCTTGCAGGAGGTGAAGTGCCTTGGCAGCTTTAAGCTTGGATATGGAACTGTTATTCCAGCTTGAAATGTGAGTGTTGTGTCGACAAGCTGAACGCCCTGGACAAACACAAGCATGTGGATCATCTAAACTGGCCTACATGACCTGGCTTGTCACAGGACACTCGCTAGGCTTCTGGCAAGATAGGCCCCTAACAGGTGTCCGCTCAAAGCCGCGGACTAATGACTGATGGACTTGAAAGGTTGATTGTGGCTTACGATAATGCTGCGAACTTGCTAATCCACCTCAGATGCGCCTGCAGCATGCTGTCACGACTCAGGCAAGCCTTCAGAGACCTTGCTCTGCTCCATCACCCGGACAAGGGCTTGCAGAACTGCGACGACACGTGCCTCGCTCCAAAGTTGTTACTGGATCTCTTATGTGCATTGAATTGAGGGAGAGGCAGGCCTTATTGCCTGGACAGGTTCCGTACTGTGCGGCTGGCCTACCAGCAAGCCATCACCAGCTTTCAGGAGAAGGCCAAGGCGAGTCCTCTGAGCAGAAGCAACTGATTTCCGGCATTGGAAAATGATGCGAAAGACACAAATTTGTTTCCAAGTTTCAAAAGGATGGCAGAAAGAAGACAGCTTCAATCATTGAGAGAGAAACCCTCGCCCTTGCATCTATCTCTTCGAAGGCTGCTGGAAGCTGAGGGCGCATGACACGTGAGCACTCAACTCTGTTTTTTGCTGAGAGCAGTATTATTTCATCATACTTCTGGGTGTGCTGCCACGTCGAAGGTAGTTGAGAACCTTTTCGTTCAGCCTGATAGTAGAAATAATTACGGCAAAGGGCCGAGATGAGTGTATTTTACATGGTGCCACCAGAGCAGCATGCACAACCTAGTGGAATTGCGAATCACAGTAGGCGGGCATTGATGCCAGCAGGCATCCTGCTCCAAATTAGCTATCTGGCTGTTGTAGACCCGCCTGTGCCGAAAGTGGCATGTGTGCGAATTGGCTCCACCACATCAAGTTCCGTGTAATCTCCACAGCAAGTTTTGCAGGAAGGCCAGCCCGCGAGACGGATGCCAGGGTCAATTCAAGGCCTTGCACAATGCGCGAAGCAATTTGCAAGAATCAGGTCGCTCATGCAGTCACCTTTTCCAACCGGCTAAAGCCGACAAGAAGGCTGTTTCACATGGGCAAAGGGACGGCTTCTGATGCCAACGAAAGTTCAGAAGATCGGGAGCTCTCAAGCCGGACCTATGCCCGTTTAGGCCCGCTCCCCACGTGCGCCGTTTCGCCGCAAACGCAGTTTCTTCTCGTGATGCCTAGGCGAGAGCAGCGGGAAGAAAAATCGCCAATATACGTCAATGTCAATATGTGGGAGATCTGCTGTGGAAGAACCCAAGCAAGAGCCCATAGTGTTCCAAGGCTTCTTCGAGACGACCTCGATACCATCGAAGATGGCATTTTGCAGAAGCTCCGGCACCAGCGCCAACAGGCAAAGAAGCTGATTTTATGGGATTGGCCTCTCAAGTTTTCTGTGCCAGGGCCGTTCCGCGTCACTTCCGCGAGGTGGCTCTTCAGCTACAAGGTCTCTTCTAGAGACAGTCTCTTTCTGCGGGCGTGCTGTCAGGTGCCAGGCCTCTTACCTCCCAAAGCGAACCCAAGGTCAGCAAGGCGACATGAGTAATTCTGTCTCAAGCGAGACCTCGCATATCACGGATCATGAACAATCAGAATGCATGGGAGAGCTTTTGTTCCTGACAGACAGATGTCCACGTCTGGCCAGTCGGGATGCCTTTTCCCCAGAGCAGCTTGGCAGGCCGTCCAGCTGCAGATGTCTTCCGCCGCGCCTGCGCTGGGTTTGCGGACGCTTGGAGCTTGGAGAGCCTTCGACTTTGCTGACCTGAATTCCCAGTGCTCGAAGCTCGAACCCTCGCACCCTCACTCCCTCACTCATATTCAGAATATTAGCGGTATTATCAGCAGTCTGGGCTTCACTCGGGGTTCTTGGGAAGGCTGTGGGGTCTTCTGCAAGGCTGCCGAAGCCAGTGCTCCAGAAGCCTCCAGACTGCTTGGACCTCTGGCGTGAGCTCTCTGGCTTGCAAGAGGAACCACTATGTGGCGTTCTCTTTCTCTCAACTTCAAGCGGTCTTCCAAGGTATGACACGATCCAGCACGTTTCTGAAGAAGTGGACGCTTGCTGCATTCAGACTTGTTCGGCTGGGGCCAGCAGGCTGCTGATGGCCTGCTGTCTTTCCTGGTAGATGCTGCTGTTGGTTGGAGAGTGGACCTGAGGAGAAAAAGCGGCAAAAGCAGGACCACAGACCAAGAGTTTGCAATCTCTGTCAGTATTCCTTCCCAGAGCAGATGCAACGAAGAACATTGCCAATCTTGTCGAGGTTAAAGCTCAAAAGTACAGGGAAGCCCTTGATTCTCAAATGCAGCAGGCCAGATCTTTGATACAGCTTTCCTCTCTCAGAACAAGCAGTCCAATGTGAGTTGGTATGAGCAGTTCCTGTGCATGATAGTCCTCTTGCGGCAGGCGCATGCGCAGCGTGAGGCGGAGGCCCACCTCTCCCGGAGGTTTGCAAGAGTGGGCAAGCATGCTAGCTGCAACGCAAGGAGGTGGAGAAGCGACACGACAGGGCCAACATGTTAGCAGAGGCAGAAACTGAAGTCGCACCATTCTTTCAGTATTACGGTTTGCGATGTAACTGTCCTGTTTATATTCGGCCGTGCAGATGGAGCGTGCCCAGTCCGCAGCAACAGAAGAGCCGCCGGCCCAGTCTTTTTACTTTGTCATATGTGAGGTTCCGCCTCTGCGCAGAATCCACATTCAGACACTGCTGTGGTTTGAAGGCCACTGAAGAGTTGGCAAGCTCAAGCATGTAAGCAGCGCGAAATTTTTGCAACACGAAATTTGCAACACAATCGGATGAACAGGAGTGGATACCTCAAGCGATATGAGTGGACATGTCTGAAGAGGCTTCAGAAGCAGATTCAGAGGAAGCAGGTGTTGAAAGAGGCCAGTGTCCACACATGGGATCGCAACCTGGCACGGCCATACTAAATCAGGCCACAGCACAACAACTCGTGCGGCACTGATTGTAGTGGGATGCAATGTGTCTGTGGTCTGAGTTTGCAAGTGGCGCTAAAGGGCAATCAACCAGCAAGGCAAGGGCTGCTCGACACAAGAAGGGCGCAGCGCAACGCGCCATGCGAGAACAGGAAGCGTTGGGCGCCCAGAGTTCATGTCGCTTTATCTTGATTTCGCAGTGGACTTGGGGTTTGATCGCTACACCAGCATGGCAGCGTGGCCAAGGATGGACCGTACTCTGGAGAGGGAGGAGCAGTATCGGCAACAGGAGATGGCAAGCAACGACAATTTCTGTAGTGCTTCGTAGAAGCACAAGCCAAGAAAAAGTGACACGAGAGCCTGCGAGTCAGGAAGAAGAAAAGCACGGTTCAGGAAAAAGAGAAGGCATGAGGCCGGCAAAAGACAAGCACGAGTCTGCAAGTCAGGCAAACACCTGCGAGTCAGAAACAAGACCGCGTGTCAACAAAAAGGCCGGAGAGACATACGTGCAAAGCCCCACCATGCATACGGGCAAATACCCCCCCCCCCCGGCCTCAGGCCACTCTCCCGCCACAAAAGGAAAATGTGACCTCTGTCGTTTGTTACAACCACCCCTTCTTCCACCTTGCGAAACAAGAGGCACAGTGATAACGCAAAACTCCAGTAGAGACATGTCTGGAAACTACCCGCCTGCAAAGATGGAACGCCAGGTACAGACATGCAAAAACTGGCAAAAACCAACCCTCTTCGCCTGGCAATAGGAGAAAAATGTGTTTAACTTGTTTTACTTGTTTTTTCCATCCCTTTTCCCCCGGGGGATGAGGGGAATGAAGTGACAGAGGCAATGCCAAGTACGGACATACTCGTATGTTTACCCTCTTTTCACGTTGCGATCATGAGGGGAAGCCATGTGCAAAGGTATGGTGAACCACCCCCGGTTTACCTCGCGACCTGTGGAGTGAAGTGACAGGGAAAGCCAGGTAGCTACAGATGTCAAAGCCACCCGCTTTTCAACCTTGCAATTTTTGAAGAAAGAAGTGACAGGGTGAGAGCCAGGTACAGATATAAGCTGTTGCTTTTCCAGGCTCACGCCTTCCTTTTTCCGGACTCCTGCCTCTACCCCTCAATGCTGCTTGTACTGTACCGTATTGTGTTAACTGCAGCGCAGACGTGCGCACACTTGCGCACGCACGTGCGGGCTCGCGCTTGGGATTGTGAACCGGATCTCGACACATCCTGCCTTTGTCAGGGGGATATTTGTCCTGAACAAGCACCCAGAAATTCTTCCAAGATTTTGATGCCATTTATATGGTAGCTTCCATTTTCTTTTCCATTATCCCTATGAACCCCCAATATACTATAGTAGTTTCCATTTGATTTTCCATTATCCCAGTATTACCCCAATATATAACCCCCAATATGATCCCAGTTTCCATTTCATTTTCCATTTTCTTTTCCATTTGATTCTCCATTATAGTAGTTTCCATTTGATTTTCCATTATATGCCTTTGCTTCGGGGCCAGGAGCTCGCGGAGCGGCACCGGCGAAGGACGGCAGAGGCAGAGCTTATGAAGAGCCAGCCGCAACCTTGGCCATGGAACTTTGTCAATTGCACGGTTCATTCCGACTTTGCGTGGCGCTGTTGATGTGAGTTTTTCAGTTGAAAAGATGAATTTTGTAAAGGCTGTAGAAGAGGTTCATTTCAGCCTCTTGTTCAAGTCGGCACGCGAAGCGTCAGGGGCCTTTACACGGACCCGTGCTAAGGTTTGACATGTCGCAAAGTCTGCAAGAACGTATGAAGCGGGAGGAAAAGGAGGCCAGTCCAGTTCTCTGCGCTTTCACTAGACTTACCTGTGGTTAGCTGGGAATGACGAATTGAAAGCTACAATAATGGGTTATATAGGGACTACTATAGGGAACCCTTATAGTAGTCCCAAGGAAGCTAACCAAAGGTAAATAGACTCCATGCATCTGGATGCGTCTGAGGCCGTGTGGTCGCAGCTGAGTTGGTGTGTTGCTTTACTCCACAGGACCATTGCGAAACTAATGCCTGGTGCAGGAGGACACTCAGCGAGCCCTCGAATGGATGCGCGCAACGTGTGATGCCGAGCGTAGCAGCTGTACACTCTGAGCACTGCATGTTTCCTGGAGGCCTGTAGGAAGTAATGCCGTCATGCAGAATTCAGGAGGGTTCAGAAATTGTACTTACAGATTTGAAGCATCGGCAGCCAATAGTCTCAGTGTGGGCAGCCGGAGTTGCGCAGACATTGCTGCGCAACATAGACATAGATTTCAACACTGGCCTAATTTAGGATTATGTTTTGACTGAATGACTGAGATGCAAGCTCTGGACTTGCAGGTCGCGGCCTCAAGCGGCGGAACTGTGCCGACCCCAAAGCGACTAACAAGTAGGACAGGTCAGCCCTTGGGTCTCCCAATGAAGTTGGGGTTTCCTAAATTAGGGGTACGTACCCTATTGAAGGTCCCAATTATAGGGACTATAGTATTGGGGGGCTATATTGGGGTCCCCTTATTTGGGGAAACTACCAAGTAGGACTGCTTCCTACAGCATTGGAGCAACCTTGGAGCGACGTGAAGCTTTGCACGTTGCTTGTGGAAAAAGGCCGGGCGGCATGCTGCACAAGATTCGCGAGAACCAGAAGCGCCCACCGCCTAACCAGAGCACGCGAGCATACTACGTCAAGTGTTTCTTAGGTCGTAAGCCATAAGCTTCTGAAATCTCAGCTCCAGACAACGTACGACTGGTCTTAGGTAATTAATTGCTAGCATGAATTCCTGTGAGATTTCAGAGTTAGTTGATAAGGCTGGTTTGACTTGATCCACGGCATCAGCAGATGTTCACTTGCACAAGGTGTGGACAATCTGGTTGACACCATCGGTGTGGCTGTTGTCGAGAAGCAGCGTGCGAAGGACCTCGGTGGTGCAGCTATCGGATATGTGTAGCATGCACTCTAGATCGATTTCATGGAGATCGCTTTTGTTCTTCGCTCAGAGCCTCCTTTCGGATGTGGGGCGTGGGATGACTTTATTTGGGGGTCCGTGTAAAACGCATGATGCCTCGCAACGCAGAGCGCGGGAATTTAATTTGGATCTCACCTCACCCATTGGGGTGGGCCCTTGAAATCCGGGCCCACCTTTTTCAAGATATTATGGGCGTGGCAGGGGAGGAAACCATTTCTGTATGACCGAGAAATTATTGATGCCTAGTACCATGTCCGTGAAACTGATGCTGTAGCTTTGCCGTGACTGTAAGGTGGTCATGTGCATTCTCACCAGTCTGCGCCAAGATTCAGATAATCTCCTTGGGACAGTACACAGGTACGTGCCCCTTCCTAACCTAGAGATGCTACGGCGCGGCATTGGCTCCAGAGGCAATCGGGGCCCTTTAGGACAGGTCCCCTCAGCGTAGCCATGCCGCGGCGTCGATCGCCATCGAGGTGCCGGGAGGGAGGAGGGATATGAAGTTGGCAAGTTGGCCTGGCTCCGTTGGATGCGAAGCTGCTGTGGCACCAGGTCTGACTCCAGGCGACGGTCTCCACCACGGAAATCACGAAAGGAGCCTGTTACGCACTTGCAGCTCTTTTCGACGTTGCATGAATCTTGGAGCTGTTGACAGGAGAGCAGAAGTAGGTCACGAAGAGGAGGGCGAGGAGGCGAGGCCAAGGCGGCCCTCCCGAATGCAGTGGTGAGCATCTTCTTTGGGTGGTTCCAGGCATCCTTGCTGTTAAGGCTGAAGAGAAGTTGGGGCCGCCTTTGCCCGAGTGGGGCACCATCGGCATCATCCAGGAGAAGATCCCCAGGGCATGGTTGTAAAATGAACCAGCTGAAACGGATTTGTTCACACGAAACAAAGGGCATAGGGGGACCCCCTCGCCGCCAGGAGCTGAAAGCCGCGGGCATTGGCTTCATCCGGCCACACTCAGGGAAGGTGGATGACAAAGACCTCTTCTTCCACAAGTCTGCGCTGAAAAACAGCTACTTGTCGCAATCCAGTCTGAGAGTAAAGCAGAGAGAGACCCAAAACGTATGCTCTCACCAGGCAGTTTTGACGCCCTCCAAATCGGCGATGAGTGCACCTACGAGGCAGTCCTTGATGAGGCCAAGGGCAAAGCTGCTGCAAAAAACATCGTCCTGAAGAACGGAGGCATGCCCCCCAGGCCCGCATGGGGAAACCATCTGTCAGCTTGCTGAAGGAGAATGTGTTGAGCTGAAAGTCAGTGCTGGCAGGCGCGGTGGGGGAGGCGGTGGCGGTGGTGGCAGGGATGATTCCAGGGACCGACGCCGGAGATGAGTCTGGCATGGTCGCTGGCCGGTGATACGCTGAGACTATTGCTAGCACGTTGCACGTAGTACACCATGGTGCAGCACCCTACAAGCTTGGCTCAGATTCATTGAGTTCTTTTTGCAAGCTGGCGGCTTGACACTACAACGGGCATTTTGCATTTGCATGGAGTGTTGGAACCTCATATGTGTGGTGTGAAGAAGGCATTTGGGGCCCAAACAGGCCCCATGATGATCATGATGCTGGCTCTTTGGGGCTGCTGGGACCTTGAAACCCCAACAAAACGCTCAAAATGTGTGTCGTGGCGGTATTTCAACTGTAAACACCAGTATGACAGCACCTGCACTGCATGACAAGCATGCGAAAGGTTGTGTGCGCATTTCCCAGTTTAACCTTCAACACTGCATGTTGTATGTATTTTTTTTGTAATGTTTTGCCCATGTTCGCAGCACTTGGGGGGTTCCTATGATAAGACTGAACACAAGTTTAAACACGCAAATAATGTTGCCTCTCAATGGCGAAGAAACGTACACGTGGGCCCAAAAATGTGTAGCCTGCGTGGAAAACCATGTTCAAAAATGGGACCCCAATTGTGCTGATGATGCTCGAGCATCACCAGCACAATCGGTGCCCCTTTTAATTAGGTCGATACAAGGACAAGACGACCCTAAAACCATAAGAAACTATCGAAAGCAGCGAGAACATCTCCTTGAAAGAGGCTTCTCATGATTTGGCGCATCGGGACTCTGCTTGGGGTTTTGGAAGGGGGGACGGGACGGCCATGCCGGGTCTGTGCCGCCAAGCCTGAAATTAAAAGGCGCTCTTAGCTTGCGTTACCAGGACATGTGGCTCCGCAGAATGGAGAATATCGATTTTCCTTCCCACAAAATTATGGAAAAACAGGCAGGGCGCACAGTGTCTTAGTTAGAGGAGGCATTGGACATGCATATGTGCGGGAAATCCAGAACAATGCTCTTTGCAACAATTGGTTTCGTAAGCAGAGCCGGGATTGTCTTAGCCTCATGTTAAGGTCATCATCAATGCACATTGCAAGGCCAGCATGGGAGAGACCGAGACTCTGAAGCCTGAGTTGAGTCGCCTAGTAGTTTGGAGGAGCCCTGTAGCTCCCAGCCACATCCTTGTGATTCCCTATAAACCCTAAACCGCTGGAGTCGTCAAGGCAATTTGGCAAACGAATGCGAGGCAGCTGCAGGGCTGGTGTGGAAAAGCACCTCAAACGCAGCACAGAGGAGTTCTGTGCTGCAAACGCATTGCATCAACCCATCACAAACGTCTGGGTTCTCTTAGTGGCATCAACAAGCAGATCGCAGCTCAACACACAGCATTCATCAGCATTATATATCAATTATGAAGACCAGTGTGCTGGCAAAGCCTGTGCCAGAGTCCACCACTGCAGTGGGGCACAAGGAGCATCTTGGACCAGACCCAGGCAGAAGAAAAAAGCGTCACATGGGGGACTTGGGCAAAGGTGACAGCTGCTTCCTTCCACTGATCCTGCCAGGAGGAAGCCATAAACCTTCAGATTGACCGGAACTTCAGGCTGGTTTATCCTTATCATGATACATCAAGGAAGAGGCTTACAATGCCTATCGTTGGTAAGTTTTCAGGACTGCGCAGTAGGGCAAGGTGGAGGATTTCAGCCAAGAATATAGTAGGAATAGAATGGAATGTAAGGGCCCCTGGTTAGTACATTCCTATTATATTCCTACTATATTCTTGGGGTTCCCGGTTTGGGGTTCCCAGTAAAACCCTTTTCTTCATATCCAGCTTGCAGGGCGTACGAGAAGAAAAAGACGGAGGATTTCTTTGCCGCGTGCGGCCCTCAGAACCTGGAACGGTCAAGCGGTAATATTGGGGCAATATTGGGGTTATACTGGGGTTATGTTGGGGTAATATTGAGGTTATACTGGGGTTATATTGGGGTTATGTTGGGGTAATACTGGGGTTATATTGGGGAAATATTGGGGTTATGTTGGGGTAATATTGGGGTTATGTTGGGGTAATATTGGGGTTATGTTGGGGCAATATTGGGGTTATGTTGGGGTTATATTGGGGCAATATTAGGGCAATGTTGGGGGAAATTTGGGTAATGTAAGTCTACATTTGACTGACAGGGCTTGCAGCAGTAGCTATGCTGTCTTGTAAGCCTTAGCAGGAAGGCGGAAAGAAAGCGACAAGCAAAAGATTTGCAACTGGGCAGCACATGAGCTGTAATCTAAACTCTAACTCCTGGTATCCCTCTTAAAAATAGACCACCTGCACTAGTCCCCTATACAATTCCTCATGTTCCCCCGTCCTGCAATGAGTTTAGTTTATGGCTCACATGGGCTCAGGCCTCCCCCCGTTCCATACTTGGCAGTTGCTACACTTTGCTGCGAGTAGGGGTTGTGCATGCGCCTGATAATGTGTAGGGTCACTAATGCGACCTGGCAGCTCAGTTTTCTACAATGCAAGGGGTGTGAAGCATCTTTTTTTTCTGCCTGTCGTCTCCTTAGGAATCCGTTGCTATTTTGTTATAGTCTAACCGTAAGGAACTTTTATTGAATAACATGCTGAATGCAGGTCTAAGGGGGCTACAGTTACAAGACCTCGCGATTTCAGGAACCAACTGTTGGCAGATCAGGGAATGTTTGGCAGGCTGGCACATCCTAGCCTGCACTCCAAGTTGCTGTTGACTTACTGGTGGTTACTAGAGAACAATTGAATAACGGAAGGTATGATGTAGGGAATATGTATATGTATATTATCCCCTACTGACCACCAGTAAGTTGGACAAGTCTGCCGCAGGATGCGCAAGCTCTGACATGAGAGTTGATTTTGGGTTCTGTGCGGCTCCTCGAATCATATCGTATTTGGGACAATAAAGGCGGATCTCATTTTTTGGGTCCCCTCGTCATGTCATTTAACAGCAGAAGTTCTGATGGTCTTTCCTGGCTCAGCACTGGCATGCTTGACTGAAGAACTGAAGCCTTGGCAGTGTGGTAAATGCAAATGGTTCGCAGTGAGTTGACAGCAGAAGTGACTACAGCAACCAGTGATGACGATGAATGTCGCAAGGTTCGCTACCATCAAGCAGCAGATTGCCGAGAAGAGTGACAGGGCTGGGGGCCTCAGCTGAGTTACGATCGTCGCTGCTACTCTGATGTCTATGTCATGGATCAAGCATGTAGCCATGTCAAGGCCATATTCACCATTCTCTAAACTCGAATCTCAAACAAAGGGGGCCCCCGAGCACTGAGTAGTACAGGAAGGATTCATAGAAGGAGGTTCCAATCACAACCCATGCAGGGCTGGGAGGACAAGCAGGCTGACCAGTGGCAGGTCTTGGCCTGAGCTCAGTATGCAAACTACAGAGCCATGACGACTTGTTGGGGATGTTTTGTACATAGTACCCGGATGTTCTGTTGGAGGATGCACAGATTGGTTTGGGGGCTTCGGGTTCAAGTTTTGTGGCCAACCAGAAAGTCAAATTTGTAAGGGTATAGGGCTGATGCACACCTAAGGCTCATTCTAAGACGGTCAGCAAAATATATGATGCACGTGAAAATGCCCCGCAGTGATCCCGCATGGTCAGCTCCTTTTTAGGGCAAGATTCCAAGAACAGGGTGTGCTTGGGTTCTAGCATAAGCGGCGGTACTCTTCGGTCCTACAGGAACCTTAAGGCCTTATCTAGATCCTCTGAGGTAGTAGTTTTTGCGGTCCCTGGCAAGTATCCGAGCCAAAAGAACATACCCATAGCCAGAGCAGCTGCATCGGAGAGTAAACCCCAAACCCTCCAACCTTGTCTAAACCCGAACTGTTGACCTGCATGCGTCACAGCCAGGCAGGAGGGGAAAAAACCCTAACTTTGGATACTGCCCCCCTGAGTAACAGCTGGATAATGAGTATTTAATGGTTATAAAGTTGCAAAGGCCGCCACCTGGAGGAGGGAGGCCGATGAAGCTGCGGCCCGAGACCGCCGCGAGGCGGAGAACCGCAGCCGGGCGAGGAAGGCCGGAAGGTTGGGCGAGATTCAGGGTACGTAGTAGGGTTTATGGTTTTGGGGTTGAGGGTTCAGGATTTGGGGTCAAGGATTTGGGGTCAAGGATTTGGGGTTAAGGATTTGGGGTTAAGGATTTGGGGTTAAGGGCTTGGGGTTGAGGGTTAAGGACTTGGGGCTAAAGGTATAGGGTTTAGGGTTCAGGATTTGGGATTTCGAGCTAAGGCTTGGGGTTTTGGGGTTGAGGGTTGGGGATTTAGGGTTTGGGATTTAGGGTCTGGGGTTCTAGGGTTGGGGATTTTAGGGCTTCGGTTTTAGGGAATACGATTGAAGGGTTTGGGATTTGCCTGGGTTGCAATCACGGATCATGGAGCAGCAGCTGGCAAACATCATGCAACGTGATCTGCAAACCATTACAGTACTGAGTGTGGGATAACGGAGAAGCAAATGCGAAGGAAAGTGGAAACTGAAAGGGAAACTACTACGTACATTGTGTCGGGTGTATTAGGGATAATGGAGACTCAACAGGTCAAGACAATGGCATGTGAAACACTGCTACAGTATCTACAGTACGGTGTATTGGGAAATAAAGGTGGAACGAACATGGAACATGAAATGATGGAGAACCAACGGAAAAGAAAATGGAACACCCAACGAGATGTAAACTTCTGCATCATTCTAGGTTTAGGGATAGTGGATCATCAAACGCAAAAGAAATGGAGCATGAAATGGAGACTACTACAGTAATCAGGGTATGAGGAAGATGGAGAATCAAACGGGTAACTGGATCTTAGAGCCCCCCCCCCAATATAGTAATGGAGAATTCCATGGATAAGCAAATGCAAAATGAATTGAAACTGGGATTCTGCAGGTTGTAGGAACTGTCATATCGTTATGCTTTTTTTGATTTGTGGGCCTCGTGGTCAGTCTTGCCTGCAAATCTAGTACGGGAGTACCATCTTGCCGCTACTCATTCGTGGGCAGACTTGGGGTTTTGCGTTTTCGTTTT